CTATTTGGCATGAAGGTTTTGCTTGAGGAGTGCGGCAGTTAACAGAAGGCAGAAGCATTACCTATTCTTTTCAAGAACGACACCTTTTACAAGAAATTATAAGAATACAGAAACAACGGTGGTGATGATTGATGAAAACTCAATGCCGATGCACCAAACTGATGGTCTTTAAGTCTCCTAGTTTTCGTTATTGTTGAAAAGTTTATAAAATGTGGGATTCTTGAAAGAGGGGTATACGTTTGCTAGTTTTATAGAAATACTCTGCAAGAAATACAGGACAACTAATACGTCTTCTTTGCTAGAAGAATAGCCGGATGATTGGAGCTGCCGTGATGTATTTTCTGATTGTACATTTATGTATATTCGGGTAAACATATATGTAAAGCAATGAAAGGATCCATGTAGGGCTGAAGGCCGGCGTAGATATTACGTTATTGTTATAGCTTAGTCAGCGCATATGAATTTGGGACGATAACAAAACTGCGTTGATATGTAATATGATGTAAAAAGTTATATCTGCAGGGTATGTTTCATTATGCAACTTATGTTTGTGTTTTTGTGTGTTACTCAAAGCACTGCTGCCTCCAAACCCAACTTTCTCACCACTTCCGCCGCCTCCCTTGCCGGCAGTGGCGGACCACAGAAGGGACCGGCGTTGGCCATGTCCCCTGAAATTCTTTTGAGTTGGTGCTCTAGTTATATAAGCCAATCCATAAGAATTTTACAAACGCGGCTGCCTCCAGAAGTTTAAGTAGTTTTAAAATGTTAGTTTTCTTTCCAAATGTTTGCAGGTATAACAAAATTAACACCCAACTGCACAACTTTAAAAGAACAAATATGCATTTTGTCTATGAATTTATATTGTTAATTTAGATATTTTTTTTAATAGATGAGATTTAGTATTGTAGAAAATTTTCATTTCTATGTTTACTATGTATATTCATAACCTAGCTACTATCTGAACAAAAATAGTTTTCAATTTTAATTTCGAACTTAAAACAGCTTTCTGAAATTTACATTTCTCCTTCAACGGAATTACAATTGTGCTCACTCTTAGATTATATGGTTTCAAACCTTGGATTAAAGCTTTTGTTTTTGTAGTTTAGTGGATTTGAACTACGATGTTTTTGCTTTATTATTACTAGAAGATAAGCCCACACTTTGTGTGTGAACAATTTCTTTTTTTGATTAAGGAGTGTGATTAGTTTTTAAAATTTTAAAAAGAGTATGAGACAATGATGATGGGATCTCTTAATAAGGGCATATTTTTCTTAATATTACATAATTACCATTTTGCCCTCGTTATGTAAATATTGTGTATCAAAAGTGAGGGTAAAATGAGAAAAACTGGGATATTCTTAATATTACATAATTACCATTTTACCTCTCTTTATGTAAATATTGTGTATCAAAAGTGAGGGTAAAATACGAAAAATGGGGTCAAAAGGTACAAAATTACTATTTTGCCCTCCTTTTTGTCAAAAGTGTATCAAAAGTGAAATAAAAAGTGGCAAAAAGTTGATAAGGAGGTCTTTCTTAATATATAGTATAGATGCAATAAAATTGAAATTGAAATTTTTGTTTTTTGTGCTTATTGGCTTGATCTCTTGGATGCTTTTTGTTGGACTTTTCCTTCACATATAATTTATTTTTTTATTTAAAAAAAAAAAGGATAAGTTGGTGGCTTCGACATGTCAGTTCATCCTTCTTTTTGCAAGCATTATGTAACTTTGATTTGATTCTTTTAGAATCTGTGTTAAGCACATTGATTGATCAAGATTTTGCTTTTGAATTCTTGGATTAGTTTTTTTTCATTTTTTTTTTAGTACAACAATATATAAACTAAAGGGAGGAGGAATTGGGCTAAGCCACACAATGGGCAATTTAATTTGGTATCGAATTCACTATCCACAAGATTTGAACCAGACCATAATACTAAGTGGCTAGTTTTTTCAAGGGTAAATTACAAAAAACTACCTTAACTATTAGGTCATTAACAGTTTCATACCTCATCTTTAAAAAGTTTCAATGTCGTACCTTTACTTACGAATTTGTTGCAATGTTTTACCCCCGTTACGTTGTCTGTCAATTCCTCTGTTATATGCTGATGTGGCTTTTGCTGGGTCCCACCCTCCACATATGAACTTTCACTTTGGTTTCTGATACAATTAAAAAAAAATAAAAATAAATTTTTTTTTTAAATAACCAAAAAAATTATTTTTTTTTAAATTTCCCTCGTGAAGCGTGCAATTCGAATTGAAGCCTAAAGCCCAAACCGTGCAATTCCATTCCATTTCTTCGTTCCAGTTCCCAAATCAAAGAACCCCAACCCTAATTTCATATCACCCGCCCCAAATCGCTACCCAACTCGCGATCAATAGTTCATTCAGCGAAAACCCTAAGTTCGTCTTGTCATCACCTACCTTCCGTTTGTTCGTTTTTGTTGAAAACCCTAAGTTCTTCTGGTTTTCAAAGGATTTGACATTATTTCGAAGGATTCAAAATGGGGTGGAATGTGCGTGAGGATCCCGAGCAAACGACGCCTACCTACTGTAAGTACAAATTTTAGTTCGTTTTGTGCTTCATTGCTTCCCTTATTTTATTTCCATTATTCTGGGTTTGTTGATTCCAAAATCTTTGTTGGCGATCTGTGGGTTTCATTGATTGTTTATTCGAAATGCTTACTGATATGTTGTAGAATGGGGCTCTGTGGGTGCTTTGTTTATTGTTGTCGAGAAAAAGGTTGTTTAGATGCTGGTGGTCCAGGGAATCCGATGGGTGCTTTGTATATTGTTGTCGAGGAAAAGGTAATTTGGATGCTGGTGGTCCTGGGGGTCGTTTGGATTATTGTTTAACAAAAGTTCAAATTTGGGTGCTTTTATTTTGTTTATTCTAATGTTGGATAATGGAAGGTCTTTTTGGTGTTTTGTTTGTTGGAGATGGGTGCGTTGTTTTCAAATTTATTCAAAATGCTTACTGATTTGTAGGATAATGGGGTCCTTTTAGGTCCTTTTGTGCTTTTGTCTGTGATGTGCTTTGTGCTTTGTGCTTTGCTTTGTTGTTGCCTGTTAAATATGTTGAATTGCAATTTTTTACATTTGGGGTGAGTGTGTTCCTAAGGTTTGTTGGCTGCACTAACTGGGGTCCTTTTGGTGCTTTTTTGTTGGTGAAGAAGATGTAGTGTTTTCTTTGTTTAGGGCTTAGGGCTTATAGGGCTTAGGCAAAAGCCTATTATAACTATGCTGCAAATGATTTACACTGTTGATGAAGAGAATTCAAATGAGGCGAGGTATAATGATGAAGCAAGTAGGAGATCTTTGCCCTAAGATTAAGAAGAAGTTGGAGGAAGCCAAACTCTTAAGTGGCAGGTGCATTGCACAATGGTCAAGAGAGAAAAACCTGCGGATTATGTGGATGCTTACTATTCAAAGGCACGGTACTTGGAAGTTTATTCTCACTTAACAATGTCAATGAATGGTATGTCATTGTGGGAGGATACTAAAAACCCACCAATCTTGCCTCCATTATATACAAGGCAACCTGGAAGACCAAGGAAGAAGAGAAACAAAGAAGCTGCTAAATTGGAGAAAGATGGTGAACAAACTCCCATCAACCCACCAAATAATCATAAAGGTCCTCCTAAGCCACTTAAGCTAGGAAGGAAAGGGTAGGGTGCTTTGAAGTGTACTATATGCAAGCAAGAAGGACATAATTCAAGGACCCATCATCGACATCTTCCTCCAAGGGACAAACAGGTAACATTTTGTACTTTCTTTAATCCTTTCATCCTTTCACCCTTTAATCCTTTATTGAATGATTTTATCCTTTGTTATAGGCATCCACACCAGCAAAAGGGAGAGCATCATCATCAGCCGAAGCTGCACCTAGAAAGAGGACAAGGAAATCTAAGGTAAAAACTTAATCCTCTCCTTGGTAGTTTACAACAGCAAGTTTAGTTTAGAACATTGCTTTGCATCTAACATTTTGTAATGAACATTGAAATTAGGCATCACAAACAGGGGATGGTTCATCTATAAATCCTGAAGCTCATTCACTGAGAGCCACCAAGCAGAGAAAGACAAGGCAAACCAAGACCTAAAGATGCCAAAAATTATAACAAATTACTATTTTTTTTAGTTCATGTTTTATGTGCAATAGGGATTGAAATTATGGTACATGGGTTCTGGAATTAGACATCACAAACATTGAATTTCTTTTGTTTTTTTGAACTGATTAGGAACCTGAAAATGCACTGTTTTGCTAGATGGATTTTAGTAGGTTTTTTGAATCAATGCACTGTACATTTTGGGATATTTAAGGATGTCTAATGGATATCTTTGTAAATGTTGGATGGATTAACGATGCCATATGAACTATAGTTCATCTTTTGGTCTTTGCAAATGTTTTGTTTAAAGTGGACTTTGTGTTCATCTTTTGGTTAGATCATGTGTTTATGTAGAATTTGTGTTTATCTCTAGCTTACATCATGTGTTTATGTAGAATTTCCATTTGGTTTTTTTAAGTTGTATTATCTTCCAAAATTGGACCCTTTAAAAAATTAATTGTTTTTATTTATTTTTTTGTTTTTTTGCTGACATGGACTAGTTTTGGCAGAAAAAATTATGTTGAAAAAAACATTCAATTTTTTTTTTGAAAAAATGACGTGGAAATTAATTTCGGCGGGAAATTTACGTGGTAGGCCATGGGGAAGTTCATATGTGGAGATGGTGGGACCCAACTTCAGCCACGTCAACATATAACGGAGGAATTAACAGACAACGTAACGAAGGTAGAATATTGCAACAAATTCGTACATAAGGTATGATATTAAAAATTTTTAAAGATGAGGTATGAAACTGTTAATAACTTAATAGTTGAGGTAGTTCTGTGTAATTTACTATTTTTTCAATTCTAATTTGCTAATGTGACTTGAAATGAGGTAATTGGGTAAGTTGGTTAAGATGCGCCAGATGGCGTAAGATCTACGGTCGAAGATATTTCAAATTTCAAATTTACGAAAGTATGTGATGTATTAAGATATTTTCTTTTGGTTGCATTAATTGGAGCGTAAGAACACCGCGAAGACAATATGACCGTTGGAGCCATAATTCCCTCCGCGCGCTTTCTTTATAAACCCCAATCCCTGAATTCCAACTCCCACTAGGAAATCCAAACTCTACTTCCCCCCAAATCCTCCTTACACAGTAGCGAATAGCGACCGCCTTCAATCCAAGCAAACCCTAGAATTTTTTATTTCAATCGCGATTCTTTCGTCTTCGTCTTCTGCGTCGATCACTGACGCCGCCGACTTCACTCCTCCGCCGCCAACCAGTTCAGTCTCTCTGTTTCTTCTCTGATTACTCTGATTCTCTTCTTACCCATTCCATCGGTGCCTCTTTTGATCATATTTTTCTGAACCCAGAAAACAATGGGTTCGATGAAGAGGAAGAGACCGGACGAACCAGAGAAGAGCTTTTTCCGTTCGAAATTCGAGTGGGTTCGAGGGCCGATGCTCGGGAGTGGGGGATTCGGGTCGGTTTATCTGGCGACCGTGAAAAAGTCCAAGTTGGGTTGCGAGGGTTTCCCGACGATGATGGCGGTGAAAACCTTCTCCAAGTCAAATGAGCTCGCGACGGAAAGTTCGTATCTGACCCTGTTTCGGGACTGCCCCTTTATTATCGGAAGCTATGGAACAAATCTGACCATTGGGGACGATGGTCACTTGAAGTGTAATGTGTTTTTGGAGTATGCCGATGGAGGAACAATTGGGGATTTGATCGAGAAATCGGGCGGTTCAGGGTTGTGCGAATCGGATGTGAGCAAGTATACCAAAGCGATTCTGAAAGGGCTCGAGTACATTCATGAAAGGGGTTATGTGCATTGTGATTTGAAGCCGGATAACATATTGCTTGTGAGATCTGATTCTGGTTTTGTGCCGAAAATTGGGGACTTCGGGTTGGCAAAGATGGCGATGCAGAAGCTGTCACGCCAAGGCACATCAATGTATTTTTCTCCCGAAACTGTGACTCACAAAATTCAGGAGCAGCCTTCCGATATTTGGGCAGTAGGTTGCATTGTACTCGGGATGTTAACGGGGAGACAGCCATGGGAAGTGAAGGGCGGCGCTGACCTAAAGCCTCTTATTGCTTCAAAACTTCCCAATGTTCCTGGCTGGTTATCAGAAGATGCTAAAGACTTTTTGCGAAAATGCCTACTGAGGGACCCTTTCAAGAGATCCACAGCTGCTGAGCTATTGAAGCACTCGTTCGTGACAAAACTGGACAGAGTTGGAGAGGTTGAACCAATAAAGGAGGTTGCTTCAGTGTCATCTCCGGAGCAAGGCGATTATGGAAGCTTTATACCCCTCGGAAGCTGGAGTTCTGAAGAGGCAGTAGATTTTGGACCAATTCCTCCTGTGGCAGTCTTGAACCCTAGACCGGTTATTCCAAGCACGGCTTGCCAAAAGGCGTCAAATTTTGCTGTAATGGGTGCAGCTTAGCTTTACTTGTTTCCATACCTGTTGACAAAGTCAGGGATGTGTACAATGCAGACATCTTCCGAAGGAGGTTGAGCTTGAGGAGGAAGTCTGATTATGTCCCCAAACATTTACTACAGTTAAGGCGCCGATTCTTCCTCTGGCACTCATGAGTCCAAGACCTGTGATTCCAACAACGGCGCATCAAAGGACTCAACTTTTGCAATAGAGGGTGCAGCTTAAGTCGAATTGTTTTGTTACCTGTTCTGCTGTTCATGGATTGGTGTAATACTTCATTATTCCACATCTGTAATTGTAAATTTTGACATGTAATATCTTCTTGGTGGCTGTATCGATTTCACTCTATATATATGGAATAATAGTTCCACTTTGATTCATTTATCTTTGTTTCCTTTAGTAGTTTTTAAGTTGCAGTTCTCAAGCTCATTCAACAGTTAAAGCTTTATGCCTTTTTCGAAACTTGTTAAAATATAAGTAGTTCACAAGTTGTAAAGCTCATTGAGCTTCTCCGATCCTTGCCCTTTTTCAATTTTCACGACACAATGATTCAATACCGTGTTAAGTAAAGGCACAAGGTTGTAGCAAAAACCAGCATTTATTCAGCAATAGTGTCATTTAATCAACAATTTGTACAGTATCACTCTCAGCAGCATCTTCCTCGGTTAGATCAGTTGTTCTCCTCAGAAATCGAGACAAACATGCACTGATTGACTCACTATTCTCCGCAACCATATAAAGGCAAAACAAGCATAGTCCTGTTTCAGGTGCAAACTCAATACATGTCACCCTGAGCCAAAAGACCAAACTACTTTAAATCATTTCAGCTACGGAGAGGTAGGTAACAGATTTAAGAAACCAACGTACCAATATAGGCAACTGTAAGACCTGAAATCAACCGTCCCAAAGCCGATAGCATGTAGAGACTAAACACTACCTGGAGAAAGATTTACGTTGCATCTGTTAGCTGTGCGCAAACATCCCAACAAAAAGGAAAAACAAAAAAGATCAATTTGATGGACTAGCAGAGGCAAAAATTGTTCTTCAAGCAGAATGCTTTTATTAGAGCAAAGAACCTGCCACCACAAGCTGCCTTACTTAGGTTTAAGGTTCCACAAATAGATTGATATCTTGAAAAAATATAGTCAGGGCGACATGTACCTCTGTGAAAAACTTTGTTCTCTTGTGTACTTCTATTAAAATTAAATTTCAGCTTCCACTTTGTTCTTAGAATATAATTTATAGTAAAACAAAGGTACATTATAAATTGTGCTCCCAGTGGTGTGAGATTCTTCATCAACATAACATCGAAGTCTTCCCAGTGAGAAACACACATGTGCAGATAAACAACATGCATATGCAGTTATATGCCAAAAGAAATCAAAATTCTGACAATTTCCAAGTTCTTAATACAGGTTTTTAAAGCCTCTCCCTTGATACATAAAGCAAGCGGCACTATATCTAAATGTAAGCTTTTGAAATTTATCATCCATACCAGCTAAGTTCTAGAAACTCTGCAACACCTCATATCAAGACAAAAATCCTTTTTAGGCATCAAGCATTCTTACCTTGAAAAACAACCTCTTGTCATGCCCTGTGGCCGCAACCCTCAATACAGACTCAGCTGCTCCTACGGTATTGGCTAACCACGCAACAATGCTATTAGCAGTGTCCTGCGAAATCTGCCACTCAAGTGGATCCACTGGTACCCTAATCAACAATAAAATTAGATATTTGAACACAAAGATTACCATTCACCGCTACAATATTATCAAGTACGTAAAATCATTATATGACATCGAGGCCTCTTATGAAATGGTACCATTGACATGTTTTTCGTTTGAAACTGACAGCATTTAATTTCAAAGAAATCACAATTTTTCAGTTCATCTATCATGGTACTAAGTACTAACTCTGGTACTTCTTCAATGCTCCATAACCTGTTAAATTTCCAAATGCATCCACTAAATACAACCATAGAGTGTAGAAGGGCATCACAATCCAAACAAAACCCAAATTTCTTTAAGTATTTGTACTCAAACCGAATTAAGTACAAAAAAAAAAAGAAATTGCATCACATTCGACCATTACCGGATAAAACCTGGTCCCCAAATGAGCCAGCAACCCAATTACAAGAACTCAGAATCCCTAATCCACCATTAGTATAGTATCCATTGTAAAATTCATCTTTTGACATCAAACCCCCTAATCGATTCATCTATCATAGTAGTAACTTAATCTACTTACATTCGAATGCATTCATTCAATGCAACCCTACCAAAATCTAAACCAAAACCAAATTTCTCAAAAGCATTTGTAATCACACTAAATCAAAGTATAACAAATTTGTATTCAGCTTCAAACAAAATCAGATTAAACCCCAAAACCCCAATCCAGCCAACAACCCAATAACAAGACCATAGAATCCCTAATTCCTCAAAAGTCAAAACCCAGAAAAACAAACCACTCTCCTGAATTTTCCGGGGAGGCAGAGGGGAAGGGGAAAAAAGGGAAATGTGGGAGGACTTACGAGACGTTCATTTGGCGAAAGAGGAGTCCGAGAATGGCGAGTGAGCAGAGGAGGACGATGAAGACGTCGGAGACGAGAGAGAGGAGGCTGGAGTTGCGGTGGGCGCAGTGGTAATAGACTAAGCTTCCGCATATTAGCACTACCACCGGCTTCCCTACTTCCGATCGGTAATCCACCATTTCCTTCATTCCTTCATTTCTTCATTTCATCATCTCTTCATCCGGTTGTGTTTCTTTCACTCTTTTTTTTCTTCTTCGTTTTTTGGTCAAATCCATTACTGGGCTCAGATACTTGGCAATTTTTTTATTTATTTTATTTATTGTATATTTGTAAAATAGATGTTCTTTATTTTAATTTTTGAGTTTTTTTTTTTTTTTTGAACAAATTGCAACAATTATGATTGATTATTTGAGTTTGTTTCCACAAACTAAAGAAAAAGCATTTGACTAAGAAAAAACAATGCAAACGAAAACAAAATTATGTTTTAATAATGGTTATACACCGTTGGCTTCTAAACTTTTATACAAATTAAACGCATATATTTTTTTATAATAAATGATAAGATAATGCATGCTAATTCAACTAAACTATGGGAGAGGAAAAAATTTCAATCCGGAATGCAGTAGATTGAAGAAGAAGTGCTGTTTTTAGAAGCAAGATAGAGTTGCTTCTACTTTCTGTTACTTTGGAGTTTGAGTCCATTATTTTGACAAAAAATATTTTTTTTCTTATTTAACAAACGTAATTTTAATCTCAACTTTTAAAAAAGCTGTTTTTAAAATAATTTTAACAATGTTAAACCAACTCTAAATGGTGTTATATCTTTCATTTGGCTTTAATTTTTTTTTCTGTTTTAATTATTTCTTCTTCTGGTTTTCATGGTTTTAGAACTCACTCTCTTATAACATTTTTATTCTTTTTGTTAATTCCATCCATTTTCTATTAAATTTTCAGACAAATAATAATTTCTGATCCAAAAACTAATATTAACACAAACAAGAATAAAACAGAATTTTGATCAACTAGCCGGAACCAAAGTTTTCCATATATAAATAAAGCTTCTTCTCAAAGCTCCTACGACTCCTACCTAGGGGTGACTTTGGATATCCCCTCAATTTCTTTTCAATTTTATTTTGGTGTCTTACATAATTTGTAGAGTTATAATGGTGGTTATTTGTGACAACCCGTCCCAAACTATTTACATTTTTATTAATTTTAGAAACGTGAATTTACGAAAATGCCCTAGAGGTAAGGACTTTGATTTCCGTTGATCATCGGTTAGAGTGACGTATGACTTATTCTTTTAACATATCCTCGTAGTACTTGCCACTACGAACGCATAGGCGAAAGCCATTTGCGAGTCCGAATTCTAACGATATAATTACGGACATTTGAAGTTGGTTATTTAATGGTAGTTAAATTATTTGAACTCTCACATTGTGGGAAGGCTAACTAATCAGCCTTATGTAAAGAGAAAAAGAGATCAATCAAATTAAAAGGGATGGAGGACCAATCAGAAATCAGAAAGAAAGAAGGAAAAAAAAAAAAAAAAAACTCCCAGGTCTCCCATGGGTTTTTTCACTCGCGACCACCTATTTTCCAAGGCCGATTCTGCCCAACTCCGGTAGAGCTTTTTGACACCACCACACCATCTTGAAACTTTCATTCCCCTCTACAAAACTCACCCAAGAACCACCTTGATTAACCACGGTATGTAGCGGTTTGAGGCCACGAAAGTTGACGGTTCTCACGGTGCTCTAGCCACCCTTTTTTATTTTTTGGCAAATCGGCAAAACGATGGGCAATGCCACCACCTGGGCTTTGTAGCTCATCCTTCCAGGAGCAAAACCCAACCAACCTTGACCCCGTTGGACCACTGTAGACGACGAATCGACACCGGGAAGCTTTAGGCACCCACCGGTTTCGTGGGCAAAATTGACAATCTTCCGTCCACTTTTGGACTTTGTGGCAGGTATGAAAGTTGTTCCTCTTTTTGAGATCTTCATTCCTATCAATTTTGGTAATTTTTGGAAATAGTTGGATTTTCCGGTGAGTCGGGACGGCCGACCGCCACCCACGGCGGTGGTGCGGCGGTGCCTGGCCAGTGGGCCGCCAATACTATTTTTAGGCTATGTTAAATGTCTTGAATTTAGTCTTGATATTTGAATGACGTAGGTTGATCGTTGTAACCTAAATTCTCTACGATACATTAACAGGTATTTATGTGAATTGACGATCCAACCGTTGGATCGTCACCAAATTTTGTTACATTGTAGTACATAATATTTGAAGAATGTAGGAACTTACGGATTGGGAATCCAACGTTCAAATCTTTCCGAATTGGATTTGTAAGTTCATCAAATAAAACGTTAACTGCTAATCAGTTTTGGGAATTGGCGAGGATCCAACCGTTGGATTGTAATAAAATCTTAGTATGTTATTCTAGAAGAATAATGTGGATCTTTGAAAGTTACGAATTAGAAATCTGATATGCGGATCTTCCGAATCGAGTTATCCAGGGTTGTAGACCCTATTGTCGATCAAAGATCGACGGTTGACTTTTGGTCAATGGGTCTCAAATTATTCTTGAAGGTCCTTGAGGATATGTTTTATGTAAATTATGTATTCTATCGGTAAGAACTTTGAGACATGATTTGATAATTGGTTACAGGCGACGATAGATTGTGATGTCTCGATATGCGTGCAAGATAATCATAGCGTGGACTCCAAGTGAGTGGGTCTTTTTCTTTCATAGGCATATAATTGATAGTTCCACAGACATTTCTAAGTGATCTATGCTTGTTACCTACAATTAATCATTACGAACTACGAATAAATTGATTCATGTTTAGGTTACGTAGGCAGTTTAACAAGACGTTAGATGCAGCCATATAATAAATGAAATTAAATAATTGAGACAATAGCCTTGTTTAGTGAATTGAGCAATGTGAGGGACATTGGTGGGAAGTGTGAGATTTAGCTTTATGATTTGGTGATTAAATGTTGATCATAAATCAATGCGTGAAGAATCAAGAAATTAAAGTAAGAAAAGGTAAGTAATGATAGTTAATTTAACTAGTGTCTAATTGGGCTTATCACTGATGATTACTCTCAAAATTAAATTGTTTGGGAGTAGGGTGTTATTGATTGTACATGTTACGCCGTATTATATATTTTGGGAATATCATGAAATGTTTGGGTTTAGATTGCATCATGACATATTCATATGGATATTACCTGAACCTAACTATTGTGAATGCTTTGAAGTGCTAAATGACGACGCGGAAGCCCAGGTAAGCTTTAGGCGAGTACATGTTGATGATAGTGATGGTAGTAAGTATGATTGTGTTGAGATATATTATAGCTCATAAACCTGCATCCCGGTGTTAGTGCTCCTGCCCGTGGCCAGGACACAGTCCTTTATGTGATGTTCACCTCCTGCACCTTACGCTCACCTTGGATCCAAGATAGGTGCACAGTCCTATCGTACAGACCACTTTAGGTGGTTTCGACTTGTAGGTGACCCGCGATTATTTGCACAATCTTCACGTGATCGTAGCACTTAAGCATATTTATTTACACCCAGTCTTGTCGTACATACCACTTTAGGTGGTTCTGACTCGTATGCAGGTATACTTATTGAGCTATTGGCTAGCATGTTATTGAGTTATTGGCTAGCATGATTGATGAGATATGTGATGAGATATGGATAAGTCGTACAAGTCACTATAGATGACTCCGACTTATATGCTAGCCATAATTGATGAGATATGGATAAGTTATACAGGTCACTAGAGGTGACTCCGACTTATGTGCCAGCATTGATTGATAAGATATGGGTGCAGTCGTACATGTGATGACTTCGACTGATATATCATTTTGTATTGATTAAGTTCATTTGGCTTACTTATTAATGCATGGTAGAGTTGATGGACATGGCAAACCGTGGTTTTGGTAATTTTTGAGTATGGTTTGGATATATGTATATATGTTGTATTGTCTTATGGAAAACGATACCGGTTTTACATTGAGGGGCATTACTTTTAGAGAGGTAATAACTTTGGAAGCTTGATTTTATTGCTCACTCACACTCTCTATTTGGTGCCCTCCAGGTTTTAGCTGCTAAGTTTGTATCGACAAAGATCTGTAGCGAATCTTAGTATTGATGGATACTTCTAAGGGTAAGATTCTTACCCACACTTCTCTACCTTACTTATGCTCTGAAGTCGTGTGTGAAATGGGTTCGCTCCCGCTCACAACGCATTCTGGTATTTAAAATTTTTAGGTTCAAATTATTCACATTTTTCTACACTCTATCACATTTTATGGCTTCGTCACCTTTCAGGTGTCGGCCAGCACAACTCGATTTAAGGTCCAAATGGACTTTTTGGATCGGAGTGTGTTATTGTCATTGTGGGAAGAGATTAAAATTGAGACATGTACAAGAAGAAGAAAAAAAAGTTAAATCATATCATTTGATCTAGTCACTTATTGTCAACTTTATTAAGGTGAAAACTAAACTGATTGCGTTGTGAATGTTTTAGCATAACTCCTAGACGCCTTTATATCCTACCCACAAATGCGTGAAATGCCTTGCGAAGCCACCAGGTTCCTTTTTAAGAATAAAGAAAAAACTTTTTTCAATTGCCGTAACTCGCGTTTTCTTATTTTGTCTCCTTTTTATCTCTTTTGTCTAAGAAAGAAAGATGCAGGTTAATCCTAGTACATCTTAAAAGTATTTTTCATTTTCAAATGAAAATTCCGCTAGGGATTACTAGTTTTCTGGAAGGTTACTTTGATCCGATGTGAACTTGCTTATAAAGTGATGCCGGAGCTTGGCATGGCCTTCAGAACAGCTTGCACCTCGCCCTCGGAAAATTAAAGGAAAAATTAACAATGAGGTAGAAAAATTGTAGCAATACTTCTTTCAACTAAAAATTTATGATCATTGGCACCAAAACATGCAACTATGGTCATTTTCGTCAACTTCGTCAAAATTCTATCAAAATAAGTTATGTTCGAATGATCATTGCTAGAATTGGATTTAAATTGAGAGATCATTGCTCCAATTGAGTTAAAGTTAAGAGAGATCATTTTTCCAATTAGGTTAAAGTTGAGGGATCATTACTCCAATTGAGTTAAAGTTAAGAGATCATTTCTTCAATTAGGTTAAAGTTGAGGGATCATTGCTGCAATTGTTCTCATTTGGTTTTCCATATTTGCCCATTAGCTTCACATGCATAGCATGTGACTTATTTGACAAAAGTTCTAACGGAGTTGACGAAAACGATCATAGCTACACATTTTGATGAGTTAAGAGACCAATGTTCATAAATTTTTAATTGAAAGATTATTGCTACACTTTCCAGGTACAAAATCATTGCTGAATTGGGCGAAATTTGAACTTACATGGCAAAAAAAGTATATTGATAAAAAGGCACTATGTTGTAACGGTACAACACATTCATCGGTACTTCATATTCCTTGTAAGGCACATAACTGAAGCTCAACTGACCGTTTGGTTAAAAAAACAACCGGAAACCAGCCCCAACCGAAAACCGAAAAAAGAAGAAGAAAGTAAAACTCTCAACGGATGCAAGATCAACCAAACTAGCCTAGGCCTGCGTAAAACAACCTAGACGTAACTTCAACGAATTAGTTGACACCTCCCGCCTGGTAATTTACACCAGTTGAGATCCCAATGTGAGTTTAAACTGTGATCCTATGTGACACCTTGCTTGAGCTTGTTACAGCTTATAAGGTATGTCTCTGAACAAGCAGTATGTCCTTCCAAGCTTCATAAAACATCCAGGTGATGCCGGAGGATGGCATGACCTTCAAGCAGCTTGCACCCCACCCTCTGTAAAGTCCCCGCAAACCTTCTTCCTGGGTGACTTCTGAAAGTGCTGCTAACATGTGCGGTGGGCACTTGCCTTTCAAAGCTCCAACCATCAGCCGTTTCCTGGCCACCTCCAATGGAAAGCTGATTGTGCTAGCCGTAAAACCTAGACATGTTCAAGTAAGCTATTAGATAATCAAGTGGTCAGGATACGATACTATACTCTGCGAAGAAAATTATTCATCCAATCATTCAGCAAAAGAGCCCCGATGTTTCAAAGTTCTGCATACAAGTTGCAAAATTGACAAGTAATTTTACTCTGTCTACTTCCCTAATTATGCAGTTCATTCATATTTCTTGTGTCCAAGAGGTGGAAGACCTGAGACTATCAGAATAATCGATAAGTAGCCCAAACAAATCAACATAACTCTTCCATACTTCTAATTAGTAATTTACACAAAAATTACATAAATTGTTGCATCACACTGACATTAACAAAAGCTTTTTCCACAGGATGCATGTTTTACTAAACTGATGAACAAAAGGTTATATGCCGTCAATAGGCAAAATACTAAAAATAGAAAGCAAAAAGAAAATGCTTCAATAATCTTCACGACTTGAGACATATTATTCTTTAAAAAATGGACCATGACATAAGAATTAGGATCCACAATGTCCAAAAACTAATTAAACCCGAAACAAGATTTGAAAGGGAAAAGAAAAAGAGAGGTAAATGGTTTGCACTATCTTTTCAATTTGATTTACATAACCAAGGCCAAGTTTCTGACCTGCAAGAGCTCCAACCAGTAGCATCTCAGGACGGTTAAGAGACTCTTTATTCTTTGCTTGACAGTAGGATTTCTTCAATTTCTCATACATGAAATAGTAACATGTACTGTAAGGAAGCATCCCAATAAGTGTAGGTGAAAGACCAGAATAGCATGCAGCAATCCCACCCTCCTTATAAATCTTGCTGACTGCAATGCTTAAACTGGGATACGCCTCAGGAGACACAGTCAGCCGATCCTGTTGCAAGAAATTAGAAGCAAGGCACAATAAATAGTTAAATACCAAGAAAAAGTGTCAAACATTAGCAGTTCCTAATTAAAACATCGCACAGTGAAATCATAAGGAGATGTAATCCAAGAGGATATAAAACACAGAATATATTTCCACATGAACACACGAAAACCACACATATAAATGAAACACGGAAGATGAGATAGATATCATAGTCATCAGAAATGATATAATGTAGAGCAGGCTAGACTAAATTTCTATCCTCATAAAGTGTACCCGTACCTTTAGAACTTCAAGGGGATGACACACAAGTGTGCTCACAACTCCGGCAGCAGCACCAGCCACAGCGACAGGGGAAATCCAGGAGATAGAGAAGTTCAAGGTTACAGGACCAATCTGCACCTTTGGGGATTCACCCTGCTTCCACTTTTCTTGTGTCGATGTCATTGCTCGTTTAATGCACTCAAATGTTCCAAACTCAACAGCTTGTGTGGGGATTATGCGAAGCATGTTGACTGCATTTCCAGCCCACAGTCCTTGCCACCCTTGCTTCTCAATGACCTCTAAGAAACTGCCACAAATGTGTCTAGATCCGACACCAACTACCATTCTGGTTCTGCACATATCAAATCCAACAAATTATGATCATGTATCAACACTTACAAAATAATCTTCATGAATTACATGTCATTACATATTTTCAAAATGGTCTGAATGAAAATAATCTTCATGAGTTACATGTCATTACATATTTTTCAAAATGGTCTGAATGTAAGCTATTTGAATTCAAATCGTTAAAAAAACCACTTATAAGAAACCCTTGGAAAATCCTCTAACTTCCCTAGACTTTTTCCAAAACTGTAACATCTTGGTGGAAGAAATTAAATAAATTTGTCCCATAGCTCGGCCACCCTCACATAAACTCGATCGAACACTACAACATTGAAATTCATATAGGGGAGTGTTATTAAACATACCACATTAGGATCAATTCATAACAAAATCTATTCCATTTTTTTTTAATTAAAACAAGACTATTTCCATCCGTCCCCATTACATCTCAGTACCTTATATACAGAGTCTACAGACATCAAATATAAACCCAACATTGTTGTCTTCAGGACTTTCGTTGTTAAATGAGCTAATTTCGGGTAGGATAACACTTCTTCGCTTATATATGCTTATATAAACACAAAGCATCAAATGCAATGACTACTGACAACATTTTAAAGAGGGTGAAACAGCAACCACTAACCTGATGGTCTCAAGAGGAGCAAGAACAGCTTTGGTCATTGCCCCTGCTAAAGCGCCGCTTAAGAACTCTCTAACTTCTCTCGTCTTCGAGAAATCCTGAAGCACATCAAGGCACACTTTTTGTGATACCAATGACAAATAGCATGTTATTTTATTTTTGGCCCTTAAATTATGCCCAATAAATCGATATGAAATTCTATTGAAGAATGATACCAAAAGTCCCATCTTTTTCAATATTTGAACTTTTCCAAAAAAGAGGCATCTCATTCTCAGAGTTCAGGGACACAGTAATTAAACAAAAGAAACAAATTAGATGGCAAATTCCCACACTGGGTTTTTGTTCCTGAACAAAAATTATCCATATAACTCCACTTCCCTAACTTTTATGCCATTTTCTCAGCAACCAAACAGACCAATAAGAAAAAAAATAAGAAATTTCCCTTCAGATTATAATCAAGAGGCGCAAAAAAGAAGTTGGGGGACTTACTCTGAGGGGCTGGGAGAGGTCAGGGAGCTGAAATCGGAGCTTGAATTTCGGGTGGGCAGCCTCCTTCTCAAGCTCAAGCTTTTTGGGAAGTATGGCCATACTGTACACATCCCCAAAAACCCCACCACCACTGTACTTCTTCTCCTTCTTCAGAGACTGTGATTCAAATGCCATGCTTTTCCTTATCAGTATCAAAAAGCAACGCAAAATCCCCCAAAATAAAAAACTATTCAATCAAATGCAGATATCTGTATCAAAAAATGAAATAAATTCCAAAAGAATATGCAGAGTCTGTTTTTCTTAAATTCTTATTGCATAAAGCCAGCACACACACACACATGTATATATATATATATATATATTTGATGAAACGGAGAGAGAGAGAGAGAGAGAGGGACGTGGGTTTGGAATTGACATGCCTGAGAGAGGGAGAGGGAGTGGGGTTTTGGGGACATTGATTTTTCTTTGGGGGGTTCGGTTTTTTGCTGCCTTTTGTGACCCGCCGAGTCTCTCGTCAAGTTTCTCAAACGTTTATGCTGTGGTTGTTTAAAGATTCTTGGGTATTTATGGCGACACACAAGGGAGAACACTTGGCCACTCTCCCATTTGCGCACTGCAACCCTACGCGCCCAACAATTTAGACGGTAGAAAGATAAGGAGGGAAACCATGATTTAGTGCCCAACATTCAATTGAATTGTTGTTCTATGATATGTTTTGGCTTACGATTGTTTTCAATTCGGATTTTGAAAAATTTTAATAAATCACCTTTTGTTTGATGCATGACATAATTTGGTTAGGATTTATATTGACACGTCATTAGCTCTATTAAATTATTACTCTCCTAATCATTTAAACCTAGTACTTGGGACATGGGCCTCAACGTTAAAACCTGAACTCAAATTTGGAATTGGTTGGGATGTTTAGGTTCAGGTTTCAAAACCCACGGTTCAAGTTTGGAATGAGAACTCGGAGGGCTTAGGGGGTCGTGTTCATATTAGTATCTCTTTCTTCATTTAGGTTTTGTTTGGTAGCTCGTATAACATACTCGATAGGATTAATAATAAAAGTCTACTTGTTGGTGCATTTTTGTACTAAATTACCAGCTGACTAATAATCTGGATTCGCTTATTTTGTGCAGTCTACCTGCTAACTAATAAACCTTTAAAGGGATTGGGAAATTGATCATTTCCGATCCCTTCTTTCTAATATACCAAATAAAGAATCTGTGTTGTTAAAATTTGATTCAATGACTACAAATATGGGCCCACTTTAAAAGTTATAATAACTTCAGTTGTTGAATCAATTTTTAACGTACGAATTCTCTAAATGAGTGAATTAGAAGAAAGGGATCAGAAGAGGCTTCGTCTCTATCCTCGTTCTTCTTACTCCAGACCGACCAGCAAGGCCATAATTGGGTAATCAAGAAGGCCAAGGCCGCATAGCCAGCTCGACAAGCTTCCCTCATGGAACCCACATTCGATTCTAACCACCGCGTCGGTTCTGGCCATGAAAACCCAGAACCCGGCCACGACCGGCATCCACTGCTTCGCAAGGATGTGTTGTAAAACCAGAAAATAGATTAAGTGTTTGCTTTAGAATGAGTGAAAGGGATGCGATAATAATTCTGCAATCCTTTCCAATACCCAATTTTGGAATCTTTCCAATTCTGCAACCCGTCCAAGATCAGCGCCTCTCTCTACAATCCTTCCAAGATCCAAGGTCTATGCGGGGACTGGAGGCGAAGTCAGTTCGTGCTTGAATGATGGGTATTTTGGATTGAACAAATTTTTGTTGTGGCGATTATGGTTGGCATTGGGTAGCAAATTGAAGCTGGAAGTATTTGTTTTGTTGGTTTTGGTTCTTTTTCATTAATCATCATTTTTTTCCCTTATTATTTTGATTTTCTCTTATCCCGTATAGTATCAAATGCAGTATAAATACGATCATTAATCTGATATTGCATCAAGCGCGGACTGAAATAATCAGTACAATTCATAATTATTTATCTTATTTGACTGAAATAATCAGTACAATCTGAGCTGCCAAACGAGGCCTTAAGGAGTTCAAGTGATCAAGTATAAGATGTCTACAATTTGAATTTGAAGCCGCATGTCTAGACTTGTGATCTTGGTAACAATCCGACTTATTTATGTGAATTACCTATTATTACACTACTAGCGTAAACTACCTATTATTATACTACCAACTTGATGTATCTTGTTCATTTTCGTTACATACATGATGCGGCTACCTCTTTATTTTGAGATCTCTTTTGCTACTAAAGCAAAGTATAAATAAAACTTTCTAAATCCCGTCCATAAACATTGGGTTTCTTTCAATACGATAACAAAACTACAAAGAAAACTTGGAGGGCAACCGCCGACAAAGGTATAAAACGACCAAAACACAACTAACGTACGAGACGAAACATCAACATAGCATGTCAAGAGATCAAAATCTAAATAGGAATGCCTCGAACCGGCCAAAACTTCTGCCTCGAAATTAGCCTTGATGAAAATATACTCCTCGAGATTAGCTGGATGAAAACATATTGGACAAATAACCCTTGGTTTATTAGGCCATGTCCACAAATTTAACATAATCCATTTCAAAGTGTGCAAAGTCGTTATCGAGCAAGAGGGCTATTTCGTAACCAGCAAGAGGCTATATCTTAGTTGGCATTGAAAGGGTGACTACTTGAGTACTTCTAGCCCATCGAGTTACATTTAGCCTTCTGGAAAGTACTTTTGTTTATAAAAATATAAATTATTAGTATATAACTACGTATTGCTAGATATGGGACAAATATAGACAAGACCGTACGTTAAGGAAAATACACTTTAGCCCTTCCATACGGGAGATGACCACACCTTTTATAGGGAAAATATTTAAAAATTACACTATGTTTAGATAAAAAATTTAAAATTACTAAGGAATTTTAAATGATGGGATTTTATTTTTTAGAATTTATGAATTTTCTTGTTTGGTTAACCTAAAAAAATAATGAAATTGAAAACGAGCTCTCAACTATAGAAATTAGGAAATGACATAAATTTACATAGAATTTAAACTTGGGCATTGGAGGTTTCAAATTCAAAGTTTTTTTTTTTCCACGCGGAAAATTGAAATTCCTATGTTTATGAAACCAAACAAGAGAATTGATGCGTGTCAATTTATAATTCTGACTTTTATCTAAATTTCAAGTTTATTTTTCGCATTCAAACATAATGTTACTCTCTCGTGTAAAGAGTTATTGCCTTTGGCACCTAGATCATATTACAGATGTAAAAAATTATTCGTTTTGTAATTTTAACTAATGTGATTTGCGATTAAAAAGAGGACTCCTACGAAAACCAAAAGACAACATAAATCCAGACTTTCTGGGTGAGATTCCGATGTCCAAATCCATCACCCACGTTACGAGATACTTGCATGGATGATTTGGGACCGTCTAAAACGACACAAGTGGACAAAGTATGAGAGTTGAAAGCCAATGGAGTTTTCAAAGCTACGAACGTAATGCTATCATCCAGAAGTTTAATTCCCACTTATTTACGTGACAATGTGACCTCGTTCTACGACTACCATTCCTTCGTTTGGCTTTAAAAACGAGCTTGTCAAAAGACGGTGGTGCAACTTCTAATCTTCTACATTTCATTGGTTTAGGACTAAAATTGATTATTTGTACGCTATCCTTGATTTTGTAATTTAAATTGTATTGATTATTTCAATCGAATATAATAAATAATCATCGAATAACATTTACTAAATTAATCGGATATTTGATGTAATATCAGACTAAGGACTGAATTACTTACGTTTTTACTATTGTCCTTGTCTAGAAACCCACACACTTTTCGAATCCCATCTTCAAAATAAAAAGCAAATAAAAAAGCCTCAAAATCAGAACAAAACCTAATTTAATAAAAAAAAAAAATTGCCCAGATAATATCTTTCCTAATTTTCAAATTCCATCATCGATTTCCAGCCAAGGTTCTAAAACCCAGTTGAAAGAAACCCAGACCCAGATCACAAAAAACAGCAGCAAAAAGATAACCCAAATTCCACTTAATTTCAAACACCGAAATGACTAAATTTCTCAAATATCACCAACTCATGATTAAAAACTGAAACCCCATACAATACTGAAACACCCAAATTGAATTCAAATGTTTTGAGACAAGAGAGAAGCTCTCTTTGTGCTGTGGTCGGTGCGAGACAGCGAGAAGGTTGGTGCAATTGGTCTTTTCTCTCTTTATGGGCGTCTCCAATTGTCAGACGGAGAGCAAAGGTGGCGGAGAGAATAGACACGGCGAGAGAAGGAGACATGGAGAACGGCGAGGGCAAGAGAGAGAGAGCTGAGTTTGCGCAGGACAGAGGAAAGAGAATCCGACCAATAATACATGTGTTTTACGGTTTTACTAAGCATGTCTATACAAAATAAAATAGGACGGTTTTACTAAGCATGTCTATACAATATAAAATAAGTTGGCTGATTAAATTAATTCAGTGCTTATTTAATACGGAAAGAAATTAAACGATCGGGTTAGTATTATTAGTTTTATCTGGTCTCTTAGACAAACTATCAAACGAGGCTTAAACTTAGCTTGATCTGAAAGGTTAATTAACAATTAAACAAGCTCTTATATGGGCTTATTTTAGGTCATTAAATATAAGAGGCCTAGTTAGATCTAACGTAACCAAAGCTAATTTCCACAACTAGTCCAATTTAAGTCAATTTTATGTATCAACAAGTGTGCTCTTAACGAGTCGATTTTTCCCACAATTGTACACAAGCATGCCAATTTCTTGTTTGGCCATGTTTTTCAAGTAAAATTCCAATTTCATTGGATTAGTGATACACATTTCCAATGAGTAGAAGGACGTTGATGTTCAAGGGCTTGTCTCACGTAGATTCAGAAAGATGAGCTAACAAGTCAACGGTTCACTACTATTAATGGATATTGTCACCCAATGTATATCTTACTGCTTACACGACACACATGTGTAAGAGTTTTTATAAAAAAATGTGTTGCCTAACTTGTATCTAAGAACTTGCAGAATACAATAATTGTCATAAAAGGGCTTAATCTAAATGAAACCACCGAATACAAGTCATACATAGTTTTAGTTATTTTTAGGCGTAAAATTCTTTTATTCTTCAACAGTTCCCTATGCTTTAATCCTCCCTAATTCTTTTGTTGTGCTTTTAACCAAAGCACTTTCAACAAAAAAAAAAAAAAAAATTCATAAACAAAAGTGATTTGAAAATCAAGGGAAAATTAATGAAAATGGTTTGAAAACTTTGAGTTTTAACGATAAAGACAAAATAAAGAGTAAAATAAATAGTAACAAGATTGAATTTTTAGTATTAAAATATGATTTTTTGTTAAAATAAACAGTACCGGAGTTTTTCGTTAAAGTTCTCTTGAATCAAAGCATTCTTGGACGTACCCCCTAAAGTCCAGTAGTTGATCAGCCCACGAAGCCCAATTACCCCAAAGGGGAGATGGCGGTAAAATGAGTCCGGACATCGAACTTGCACTTTATTGAAATGACCCGTATACCCCTCCCCGGCGTCCAAATTCCAATCCCTATTTATTCTCCTTTTTCCCTCTCTCTCCCTCTCTCTCTCTCTACCATCTGAGTTTCTCAGACTCGTGCTCTCCCTCCATGGTCTCTCTCTCTACAGAAAACCCTAGTTAATTGTAATTCAAGAAATTCGAACAGGATCAATGGAGAAGAAACTATCCTCGAGAAGAGAGCTGTTGGACCGCTGGAGAGTCATTGAGGAGGAAGCGGACGAAGACGACGATCGCATTGACCCCTCCAAACGGCACCGTCTCCACCACAACAAAGAACAATGGTGCCCCCCCTCTCTCACTTAGATTTTAGTTTAGTTCCGTTTATCATTGTTTTCAAAAAGCGTAATCTTTTGAAATGGGGAACAGTTATCATTATTGATTTTATTTACATTCTAGCTGGTTTTTGGTAGTAATCTTGTTTGGGTTTGGTGGTATAAGTAAATTGAAGAAGTTGAGTTAGGAGTGGAAATGTTGAATTCGATTAGCAGCGTAGGAAATGGAAGCATGTGGGAGATGGAAAGTGTGATTTTTAGTGAGTGGAGGTAAGAAATGGAAGAAATAGAGAACTTTAGTTTATTACTATTACACTAAGACTACAAGCATCGACATTGTTGTTTAACCGATTGTGATCCTTAGCGGAGTTGTAATAAACAAACTACATTATTAGGGTGTTTGTTTCTGTCTATGGTTCACATTAACTTCTTCATGGATTTGTCTGATCGAGGAACTCTTACGTGGAGAAGCTGTTTTTCAGTTCAGCCTTCTTTCTTAACTGTTACCCCTTTAAAGTAAATAAATTTTAAACATATACTTATTTACGAGATATTTTGAGCTACCAATTCATCTCTCACTTTCTTTCTCTTTGCTGCGCAAGATTGAATTCAAGAACCATGTGAACCTGAGAATGCGAGCATGCATGCTTCAAGTTTATTTGATGGTTTGCTATTCGTAATGAGTTGACAGGCTCTATATGTATTTGTTTATTTTTAACATTTAGGATTTATTTGGCATTGTTTCAGGTTTGCAGATGCATTTAGTTTCTTGATCTGTTTGCCAAAAGAAAATCATATTTGGTGTGGGTCGTGGGACTTAATGGGGCCTCTTCTGGAGACATTTTATAACTACTTCAAAGATGACAATGCTGATTCTCCTCTTAGACAACTATGGAGGAGAATCTCTGAGGAAATGCGGCAGTGCATCCAGTGCATTTCCCAGCACTATCAAGCCCAAGAGATGTATATCATGGAGTATGAGACAAGTTCTATTGGTCCCCTCTTGGATGTTTTGCGAAGTCTCGATGAGGAAAGAGTGACACAGCACTTGATAGAGATAAATACTAAATTAGCCCGAAAAGAATATGATGCTGCCCGTGATAATGCAGAAGTCATTAGTGTCATGTATGAGGTATGTCAGTGTTCTCTTATGGACTTATTTTATATGATACGGTTAGCATAGTATAACTTAATCAGAATGGAATTGACATTGATTTGATTGTTTGTTGTTAATTGGTTCACAGGTTCTAATGTTCCCTGTATTATTGGATGATGAGTCCTTATTCACTGAGTTTGAAAGATTCATTGAAGCAGTTGACAGCATGCATGAACTGGCTCTGGCTGGACAGCAACAGTTTCCGGTATTTTGTTGATAGATTTATTTCTAGATGTTCGTTAATTAGCTTTCATTTTACTTAAATAAGCGTAATTCTTCTTTCCTTATAGAGTGAATCTGTTTTCTGTTAGGGTGTTTATGCATTATTTTTCTTCAAGAGAAGAGTGCGCTCTATTGGTCATCGTCTAGCTGGTTCTATGGGAAAACTGAGGTACTGTTTCTTGAGTTTCAATATTCATCATTCAGATGATTATATCAACCAGTCAGTTTTGTTTTTGGGTTCTTTGCACTATGGTGGATAAAGGAGGAGGTGGCAGGTGTTTAAACATTCTACATTGTAATGTTTGAATGTGTAAGTGGTTGCTGCCTCCCAAGTTCCCAACCCACCCCCAAATCACACTTTTGGTTGGCACTGTCATTGGTATGCAGTACTAGACTATGTACATTTTGGAAATGCTTTATGTTTCAACTTTAATTGTAATTCTTTCTTTTGCATTTTGTTTTCATTTTTTATTCTCTTCATGCATAGGAGAGCAACAGATTTGGAACCCTTGCAGCCTATACTTAAGAAATTCATCGGCTTCTTGGAGACTGAAGTGTTACCGTCAACTTTGAAAACTTCAAGGCCCAGAGTGCAGTTGGAGCGTACATCCATATGGGTTGGAATAAAATCTCTGTAGGAACATCTGGATAAACCTGTTTATTACTGACCATTATTTTTCTTTTTCCATTTTTCTTGCTAATGATTCTTTTGTGTGTTTTATTAAGGCTTGGGTTTTTGGAACCTCCAGCTTTTGAAGAAGGGATATTAGAGCGCTATCCTATTTTTCTTGATATTGTACTCAACCATATTAGTGGCGATTCATCGGAATTCTCTCATGCAGTTTCTTGCTTGAGAATACTCTTTGAAATGCTTGGTACATACCTATTTTATATTTTCAATTAAATGTTGGGATTCTGTTTACAACGCTCAGAGTTTTTTCTTTATCATTGTGGCTTGGCTTAAGGTTGTAAGCTTTGGTTGAGATCAACACTGTCTCCAAGTGTGATGCGGAATACTCTGATAGGGCAGTGTTTTCATACTCGAAGCGAGAAAAGCCATAAGGATATTTTTGATCTTCTTCAGCCTTTTCTGCAGGCATGTCCAAGATATTCCACAACTTTTAGTGACAGTTATGTAGTCTATTTTTTACATGCTAGTAGGAATGATTCTGACTTTACTCATTTGATAAGTGCAAGTCCAATTTATGCAGTCTCTTGAAGCTTTGCAAGATGGGGAACATGAAAAACAGCGCAGGCATTTTCTCTATTTTCTCCTCATTCAGGTGCCTGCGAGCAGTAACTTCAGTGGCTTAACGAGGCAAAAGGCTTGTCAGGTTCTTATTTCTTTCTGGAGATTGTTTCTCTTTTACAGGCTTTCTCTAGTGTATCCTGTCATTGCTACAATAAGACACTTCTATTTTTTCTGGATTGTGCTTACTTTATTTATTGCAAAATTGTATTTCAGATAGCACTCCTTATTATACATCGAGGCTACACGATGAACCCGCCTTGTCCTCCTTCTGAATGCGCACATATGTGGTATGCAATTTATCCGTCATGGATTTGACATTCTGTGGAGGCCTTTCTTGACTATGAATAAATTAATAGACAAAACAAATGACAAAACCATTTATGCTTTCACTTTTCAGTTTCAAATGTGTATTTTCTGTCTTTTGTTTTTGCCAACATATTATTCAAAATTATTGGAGGGAAAGGAGGAGACTTTAAAATGAATCTATGTTTCTCCTGGGTTGAGTGTTGCAAGGAATTATAGTTTCATCATCATATTCCCTTCCTAATGGCTTATAAAGCGAATGTAAAAGAATGGTTAGTGATTTCTGCATATGGGTGGTAAATCACGTATTTGTTTTTGTTTGTGTTGGTCAATGGTTCTGCACAATATTGCTGTTGCCTCATTAATCTGTTTGTATTTGTCAGGGGCCCTTCTCTTGTGTCATCGTTAAAGGATTCTTCACTTCACAATTCTCTAAGGCAACCTGCCTTTGATCTGATACAAACTATCATGGTGTCTGATGCTGCTGTGTTAGTAAGCACAGTGCTAAATACCCACCTAAACCTTTGTTCTGAAAGAAGCATGTCCTATGAGTTGAATGATGAAGATGATGAGGGGCTTCCATTTGCTGAGAATACAAAAGAGCAGGATAATAGCTCATGGAGTGAATTTAGCATACAAAGTAAAATTGCATCCCGGGAATTTAGAGAGTGGATGTGCATTCCAATGTTATGGATTGATGTCCTTGCTGACATCAATCCATCAGTTCTTCCTATATCATTTTCCAAGGCTGTTTTGTGGGCACGATCTCGTTTTCCTATGGTAGAACCAGTGACTGGTGCAGAAACGGCCCTTCCAGTCAGAACCTGGCTTTCATCATCTTCTGCAGAAATATCTTCAACCTTTGGGTGGAAGGTTCCTACTGGTTCTGACGATGGTGGAGATGTAGTGTCAAAGAATGCAATAAAAGCCTCGACAATGCCTCTTCCTCTAATACGAACATTCAACAGGTTTTTTTTCATTAAATGCTGTTATATTTTTGTTGGTTTCTGTGCTGTAGCTTTGATGTTGTGCGTACTTTGTTCCTGGTTGATTTGGTCCTAATAATAACATGGTGGTGTGTAACCGTGTTACAGGTTAACAACACATTTTCTGGTTCATGTGGGGCAGGGGGAACTTCGTAAGCAGTGGACGTGGGAGCCAAGGATGGGTGAAAGCTTGTTCCTCTCACTTATAGATCCCAATGATGTAAATACTTGATTTGAACAATTATTTGAACCTTTAGGACAAAAGAAAAAAAAAAAAAAGTTTGTAACTCAGATGCCACTTCATTTTATCTCGTAATGTTATCATTCAATCATACTTACAAAAATGTTTACATCTTGTATGGTATCTTTATTCATTTTGTATGACACAAATTTATATGTGATGCAGGATGCAAGGAAATTTGGCAAGTCAATCCTGGAACAGGTTTCCAATACACAGGGTCTTGCTTGTAGTTTGACATTCCTATGTTCTTATAGGTCTTCATTGTCTGCTGTCTTTTTGGGCTTGAGACATGCTGTGAAACTGGTAATACTTTTGTTTCGTTGAATTTCTTGAAAGTTGAAACTACTGATGTATAGTACCAGCATGTAGTTTACCTATCTGTGTTTCATGTAGTATATAACTAAGTACATCTGTGCATGCTCAATTTATTTGAGCTCTAAAAGTTTGTTCAAGTCTCTCTCTCTCTCTCTCTCTCTCTGTGAGCCGTAGTGTATTAAATGGACACCTTTTTAGTGGGTAAATGAGTCTAAATGTTGTGACCTATGTCGGGATAAACATTCATGTTTCCTCAAATTGGAATGTGAAGGCATATGGTTCCTTTTACTTACGTCAGGAAACCAGTCACAGATAGACCCTATGTTTAATGGGTAGAACATAAGTTCTGAAACTCTGGTTATGATGTCGTCTTACGGTGATAGATTTTCCTATTTTCCTTACTGTAATACTCTTTTTGAACTACAGTTCATTTCAATTTTCAGGTCCAACTGGATATTGTTTTATTAAAGTTTCAGACTCTGCATCATTTTTTCTTTGTTCTGCGGAGACTACTTATTGATGGGGATTCACGTGCTGCGGATATTCCAGAATCTGACCACTTAAATATGGCAAAATTCTCTTCCCAAGGTGGATTTCTCAGGCAGCCAGTCTTTGATTCATCCCCTCCCAACAATGGGCATTCACCAAATGTTGACCTAAATTTACTGAAAAGATTTTATAACTTGATATCGGAAACTGCATGGCCTTCCATCTGCAGGTGCTTATTGGAAGGAAAAGCATTTATTGATAACAGTATTAATCAGGTAGTGTTTCTAATTGTAAATAATAATGTACTTTGGTAATCTCATTTTGAAGACAACTTATTTGTATTTACTTATGGGTAGTAGTAGCATTTGTTTCCCTTTGGGTAGGTGGTGGGGTAACTTATCAAATGAAGTAAAGTATGTATATTTGTGTTTGTCTGATACTAAAGAAAAGAAGGAAAATTGAACATCAGTTTCTTTGGCTTGGTTCGATTAAGCTGGAATCTTCTTATATTTTTATTAAATTTTTTATTTTATTTTATTTTTTCAGATGACTTGTGTACGCATACTTGAGATCCTCCCATGTGTATTTGAAAGAATATACTCTGGCGTACGGGAAAACACATGTGACTTCTCATGGCTACATGATTTTATGGATTGGGGAAAGTCATCACTTAAAACTGTGGTTGTATACTGGCAACGAACAATCACATCCTTGTTGAAGCTGCTGAAAGGGTCATATAACAGTGCTATTGCATTGACAATCAGCACCATTGAAAATCTCATTTCATGTGGTGAGCTTTCCATACTGAAATAGATTGATGCAAACCATCTTGCAATACTCCATTTCTTCTGTTGAAGCAGTGACCATTTTTCAGTACTGAAAGTAACATTTTCTTTATGTTTTTTTGCCTTCTACTAGATTGTGTTTCCATGGATGAATTGATGGAACAAGTGTCACGCCTTTCTGTTTCTCTATCTAAGGCAGCCTCTTCTAGTATTGGAAAGACCGACCTCTGTTCAAATGTCCTTGTTTCCTGAAGGCTTATCTTTTGAGAAGTATTCAGCTCCTTATGTGCAACCCTTGTCCATCAAGGATCCAGATGTCCAAATCTTGCACTCACCATCGGTGGATAATAGAAAGCATAGAGATGACATGATTGTCCTTTCTGATGAGGAAACTACAGCTGTTTCACCAGATGAAGTAATTTTGTCTGATACTAAGGTGAGTCGGTGTATGGCGGATGACAAGACAATTGCTCCTAATGATGACAAAAGCACTTCATATACCGAATCTGTGAAGAAGGTTTCTGGTGTTTATACATCCAAGTTTTATTTGAAGGCCTTTGAGAAAAGAGATGCTACAGATAGTGCTCACTTGGCTGTTCAGAAACGGGAGATTGATAGATCTATAGGAAAACTGCCACCTGTTTTCTCCCTGAAATCAAAAGATGAAGATAATAACAGGAAAGCATTAACATCTGATAGCAATATAGCTGATTCTGAAAAATTCCAGAATAGAACTAGTACTAGTAACTCATATGATAGTACGGTTAGTTCCAAAAAGTTGAATCAAGCTCCAACGCTTCATTGAAAGAGATAGTAAGTGATGCCAAAGACAATTCCTTGGAGTCTTCTCTCAATTCGGCCAAGCATCAGCAGTCACCTTTGGAAAAAATTAGCATTGCTGCTCCTAAACGACAACTCATTCAGCTTAAATCACCTTTGCTGAACAGGCCTAGCCATTTACAAAGGCTGGAAGCTCGAGTGAAAAGGTTCAAGCCGCCAAAGCTTGATGACTGGTATAGACCTATCTTAGAATTAGATTACTTTTCACTGGTGGGGGTAGCATCTGGAAGTGAAAATGATAACCAAAAACGTGCAAAATTAAAGGAGGTTCCTGTGCAGTTCCAATCACCTGAACAGTATGTTGAAATTTTTTGTCCATTGGTTTTGGAGGAGTTTAAAGCACAGTTACATAGTTCTTTTATAGAAATGTCTTCATGGGAAGAGATATATTTTGGAACTTTATCAGTGCTTTCAGTTGAAAGAATTGATGATTTTCATCACGTTCGCTTTGCTCACGATGACAATGATTCTACAATGTCAAGCAACTTTTCAGAAAATGACCTAGTATTACTAACAAAAGAGCCCCCCCAAAAATCTTCTCATGATGTTCATGTGCTTGGGAAGGTACTCTTTCATATTAATCATGCAGCTAGTTAGTATTTTATTTGTTGTGATTTACCTGTCTTTGTCTCCAGTTGACTCAGAACTTTGATAAGTGATGATCAGGATGTTGTGTAGTTTGTTGATGAAAATTGACATCTTGCTAAAAATAGTAAGAACGAAAAAGATTAGTGAAACCTGACTTCTAAATTTTAATCACTTATGGTTGCACAGAAGTATTATTAAACTTTTATTCTGCACATTCTTATAAGGGTGCTATTAGGCTAGATTCATGTCCATACATTGAATTTTTTGTTTATATTTCTATTGTAGAATATGAACTGTGTAAGCAAGTTTAGGCTGCATGTATATGCACTTTATTATATCATTCACGAGACCAGGTTTCTTTTAAGTTCTTTTATGCTAAAATAATGTGTGCTTCTCAGGTGGAGAGGCGTGAGTGGGACAATAAAAGAAGGTTAAGTATACTACTCATCAGGTTTTATCTGTTGAATGGTACGTCACGTTTACATCAAGCCAGAAGGAACCTCCTTGAACGCAGTAAATGGCATGCAAGTCGTATTATGAACATTACACCTCAACTTCGTGAATTTCAGGCATTATCATCACTAAAGGATATCCCTTTACTTCCAGTTATTTTGAAGCCTGCGAATGATTCTTATGATTCTAGTGAAAGCAAGGAAGTAGATCTGAGCAAACTGTCCCAACCCTTGCAGCGTATACTGAAGTCATCCTTTAATGACAGTCAACTTCAAGCTATTAGTGTTGCCACTGGAACACCTAGGCGGAAGAAAGATTTTGAATTATCCCTTATTCAGGGTCCTCCAGGTTTGTGGTTTACCTGGTTAACTTTCAGATCTGAAATATTGCTTGAGTTATCATTTACTAATTGGGTTTAATTCCATATATCATATATGTAGGTACTGGTAAGACAAGAACAATTGTGGCCATTGTCAGCGCTTTGCTTGCTTCCCTTACCCATAGGACAGATCCTGACGAAAAAATTCATGATCTCAGTTTGAAGCAAATTTCAGTTCCCAAGATTAACCAGGCTGCTGCTGTTGCAAGGGCGTGGCAGGATGCAGCCTTGGCCAGACAAATAAACGAGGATGCCCAAAGGAATATGAACGCTGTAGAAAGTTGCTTGAGAGGAAGGGTCCTCATCTGTGCCCAGTCTAATGCTGCTGTTGATGAATTAGTGTCAAGGATTTCTAGCCAAGGGCTGTATGGAAGTGATGGAAAGATGTATAAGCCATATCTTGTGCGGGTTGGGAATGCGAAAACAGTTCATCCAAATTCGCTACCATTCTTCATTGATACACTTGTTGATCAACGGTTGGTGGATGAGAAGATGAAATTGACAGACACAAAGAATGATTCGAGTGTCGATTCTTCAACTACACTGCGCTCTAATCTTGAAAAGTTAGTCGATCGAATTAGATTCTATGAGGCCAAACGTGCTAACTTAAATGATCGGGATCCTGACCTTAAAAAGTCTTCTGTAGATGATAATTATAAGGGGGATGATGGGAAGGACATGTCTGATGCAGAAATATCTTTCAAGTTAAGAAAACTTTATGAGCAAAAGAAGCAAATTTATAAGGATCTTAGTATTGTTCAGCAGCAGGAGAAGAAAACTAATGAAGAAATCAGAGGACTTAAATATAAACTGCGGAAGTCTATACTAAGAGAAGCTGCAATAGTGGTAACTACATTAAGTGGCTGCGGGGGAGATCTTTATGGAGTGTGCTCTGAATCTATGTCAAGTCATAAGTTTGGCAGTCCACCTGAACATACTCTTTTTGATGCTGTTGTTATTGATGAAGCTGCTCAAGTAAAGTTTGTCAAGTTCTTAAGAATTTTATCAGTGGTTGTGTATTGTTTCTTTCCTGCCTTCTAACATTGGTCTTTGTTACAACAGGCTCTGGAACCTGCTACTCTGATTCCTCTTCAGCTTTTAAAGTCTAGGGGTACCCAATGTATCATGGTAATGCTTAACTTGATCACGTGTCAATATTGTTTTGTGTTGTTTGGAAGTGCTGACATTTGAAATTAATGTTAAAGGTTGGCGATCCAAAGCAGCTTCCTGCAACTGTTCTTTCAAATGTTGCCAGTAAATTTCTTTATGAGTGTAGCATGTTTGAACGTTTACAAAGGGCTGGACACCGTGTTATCATGCTGACCAAACAGGTAGATTATACAGATTATAGTATAAATCTGATGGACTTTGTGCATCTATTTGTAATTTCTCTCACTTTTGTTGGCATTGATTGTGTTTGAGGAATGGGGAACCATTTCCTTTCAAATGAACATGATAGATCTTTATGTTTCCATCATTGGTTTATTGTTATACTTCTGGACACTGGCTGTGCATCAAAAAGCATGAACATTAATATTTGTAATTTGCCTGTACACTTCTAGTCGGTTGTGATGTGTGTGGTCTTTGACAACTGATCCTAGTCTTTCTTGAACGTTCATATTATTGGAATTTTTTGTAATTTCCAATTTTATTTACTTGTGTCATCTTTGCAAATATTGGTTGCTTGATTGAAAATTAAGTGGACATCCGTCTTACTGCAGAGAATGACACCCATGCCTTATATCAAAGTAATTTTCTCAGTGTTACATAATCCCCGACTATAATAATATCTCTTGTTTATATTTAAACTTTTTCATTTTACATGATCCCGCATTATTGTTTGTAAACTTTATACTCACTCACTACCACCACTGCCTGCTGCTTCTGTTGCTACATGTTATTTTACTCTTGCTGCCGCTATTTCTGGATGAGGTGGGGTATGAATATCTTTCTTGTTTAAAATGCTAAGATATTTTCTTAGACGTTACTATTGTTTGCAGTATAGGATGCACCCAGAAATATGTCTGTTTCCTTCTTTGCATTTTTATGAGAAGAAGTTGCTGAATGGCGATCATATGTCCAGCAAATCAGCATTATTTCACGAGACTGAAGGTCTTGGACCTTATGTATTTTATGATGTTATTGATGGCCGGGAGCATCGTGGTAAGAATGCCAGTGGGCTGTCCCTTTATAATGAACATGAAGCTGATGCTGCAGTTGAATTACTCAAGTTTTTCAAAAAGAGGTACCAAGTTCTTTTTTTTTTTTTTTTCTCAAAATCGGTGGTTCAAATTAAGCCGGTGGTTCAAATTTATATTTGATGTTGCCTAGGTACCTAGTCTTCTTTCAAGATTAGTTATTGATTTTTGGTTGATGCTCATATAGTGGATATGTTGCTTAGGTACCCTTCTGAATTTGTTGGTGGAAGAATTGGCATCATAACTCCATATAAGAGTCAGCTCTCGCTGTTGCGTTCTCGTTTTTCTAGTGCCTTTGGATCTTCTACCATGGATGATATGGAACTTAATACCGTTGATGGCTTCCAAGGTCGGGAGGTTGATATACTGATACTTTCCACTGTTAGAGCGGCAGAGCCAAGCTCTGCTGCACCTGGAAGCAATTCTAGCAGTATCGGATTTGTTGCTGATGTAAGACGGATGAATGTTGCCTTGACCAGAGCCAAGTTCTCACTTTGGATTTTGGGTAATGCAAGGACTTTGCAGACAAACCAAAACTGGGCTGCTCTTGTGAAAGACGCTCAAAAGAGAAATTTGGTTAAAACAGCTAAAAAGCCATACAAGGACATGTTCAAAACAGCTTCTGAGCAAAATTCTGGTAATCGTTCATTGGAGCCACAACATGTTCAAAAGGTTAAAGATGCAAGTCTGCATGCAAGGAAATATGCAAAGGAAGCACATGAAAGAAAAACAAAACACATTGATCATGTTTGGAGTAAAAGAAGACTTGGTGCTAGTGAACCAGATGTTTCAGCAACTAAAGATGATACCAGAATTAAAATAGTGCAGGCCAGAGATGAATATGATTTACCACTGAAGGATGGCTTTTCTACTGTCACTCCAGATGCCCACGGTAAAAATTCCAAGGATGTCAAGTCCACAGAGTCAGAGGAACGTGTTACAAATAGTGAAAGTAGAGATAAAGATAGCAAAAAAAGGAACATTAATTTGGACAATACTCAAACTGGTAAGAGGAAAAACAGATTTGAAAATTCAAAAAGGGATGCAGATAACTCTGAACAAAGAACAGATGACGGTGGACCTATGAAATTGCGAGAGTCAAAAAGGGCTAAGAGATCTTTTGATGGTGACAGAAGCCAGAAAAAGCAAGTTTTACCTCCCTCAGATCAAACAAAGGATGCAAGTGATGGAGGTAGAGCTTCAAATCAAGTTGCAACTTCTTTAGATTTAATTGCAAAAAGGAAAAAACAGCGAGAAGCTGTTGATGCTATACTTTGCTCATCTCTGATTCCTTCAAAGAAGTCTGAAAAATCAATAAACCCCGTGCCTGCTAAAAGACCTCAATCGTTTTCCTCAACTGCAAGCAGTGGCATAAAACCACCCAAGTCAAGGAAAGATTGACTGGCCTGTTTCGGTGTTTTGTCAGGTATGATTTCTCTTATAGCATTAGAAAATTGGTGGTTAGCAAATTGCTCTATGAATACATATATTTTATTGGTAGCATTTTAAATCTGGTCATGGTTGTGACCCTTGTTATTTGAAAGCTTCGTAAGCCTGAGGTGGCATTCTTGGTGGAATAACAATTATATTGAAACTGAATTGTCTGCAAGAATAATAATTATGTTGTGAAATTTCATCCTGAAATTTCTCAATGACACGCTCATGTGGCATCTTCTCTCGTTATTGTGGAGTGGAAGGATGGATAGGTTGTGGGTTCGATAATCATTAGCTGCGTGATTGAAGTTACCAATATGACTTAGAAACTCATATTAGGCAATGACTTGTTGGTTATATTTGGTGCGGCATTTCTCTTTCACCCCATACTAAGCATCAGCATTTGCACTGTATTGAACGTTCGTGTACTAGTCCTTATAGTTCCAGTAGATATCTATTATTAGAAGTTAAGTGTTGTGAGATATCGAGACTGTTGAATGTATTTGTAATCAAACTCTTCTATATGTTTGCAGTTTTGCCCAGAATTCTCAATCTGTGAACTTTCTCGCGCAGCCCAGAATATACAGCTGACTGCTTGCTTACAACGAGCCTAAGTTTTCCATTCATTTATTTGAGATTTGAAGAACGTCGTAAGCTTTTGCAGACTGCTATAGAGAATGTACAGCTGACTGCTGGCTTACAATATGCAGTATTTGGTTGCATCCCTCTACCGTCACAACGAGCAGGAGACGAGGTCCGATTTGAAGGTGTTTCATCTGAAATTTCTGGTACGCCATTGTAAAATAGTCTTTTGATAGGTGTGCCACAATTGGTTTAGCTCGTATCCTTTCTATGGTTTTTGGAAGATCATGTGTATATATCAGTCAGTGTAAATACTAGTAATTGTACTCTCTTTAATTCAGAACTTTTCGTCACATAAACCTCTGATCGACCAAAGCAATTTCATCAAGGTAGATTGTTATAGTTTATTAAAAGTCTCAGTTGTATTGCCATGGTTGTGCAAAGAAATGAATATACTTGGTTTTTTTGTGTGTATGGTGCCATTGTTTTACGATGACGAATTACCGTTTGACACATCTCTAAAACCTTTGCTTTTGCCATTTTAACGAGTTACATTTGCTTGTGTCAGACTAGATTTGCAGAAAGGAAGGAATGATTTGTTCTATAGTCTCTAATATTAGAGTAATGTTAGGTAGATTAAATTTGTAGACTAATTGCAAATTAAATGATGTATCACTAATAAGAATTAGGCACGTTAATTAACACTTAATTAATAATGGGTAATGCTAGGTAGGCCAAACCAACTTATGTATCATCAATAAGAAATAAACAAGTTAATCAACACTTAGATAATAATCTAATAATCAACAACGATATCATTTGGTTTAAAAATTTAGCGTTCCTGTCATTACCCATTAATAATCCAATCATCAACTTCTATGTTATTTAATTTACAAAATTTTGTCTACAAATTTAATCTTCTTAACATTACCCATATACTATGCATGCATCTCTACCATAAGATAATCTAGTAACTTATCCTTTTCAATTAATCCTTAATATCTGATGCCAGAAAATAATCTTGTTACTTATTCATTCCAATCCAATCTAATACTTAATACCAAACGACCATAAGAATTCACCTCTTACATGTTCCAACCCGCACGTGACTCGTGCCCTCGAAATATTAGAACCAAGAATCCCTAGCTCAAACTTATTGGGGGAGGGGATCGGTATAATAACTTAGTGATTTATCGTATTTTGGGATAACTAATTGTACAATCATTGCCTTGGCATTTCATGTATCAACTATCAACCATGCAACAATATATACTCAATGTGACCGGAATATGTAATGATATACCACGTGTTACTATACAAATGGTGAGATATATGTATTAAAAAGTTAATAACTTAAAAAATACAATTTCCCACCAGTTATATAAAAACATGTAGTGTACCATTCGTATTCTAATCACAATGAAAAATTTCTCCTAAGACTCCTCGAAAGGTTAAAATTCTAAACGTAAGAATTTAGCTAGAAACCTTTGTAAGTGTCCAAAATTTAGCTTGTTAGTTTTTTTGTTTGTTTGCTTTGGTAAGCTGTCCAAAGTTTAGTTACTTATCAAAACTTGCACATTTGGAGGGAGGGCATGCATATTTTACCGAAAGAGGCAATGAATTTGTAAACCTCAAGCTATGAAGAAACTGAAATGTCACTGTACCTAAGCCAAATATAGAAAGCAAAATATTGAAAGAAGCTAGGAAATTGTCGATACGATCAAATGCATGCATCTATATATAAATATGTGTAACAGTAAGTATGGTCAACCGAATTGATATTGTTGTCTATTTTTTGAAAAAAAATGGTTAGATTCAGGCTAGAACAATTGTAGATTTGTTCAACGTGTTGTCTAACTAATTCATATTCTATGTATGTACATCCAAACCTTCTAAAGAAAAAGAGCATAGTCGTAGACATGTTTAGAATACTTTAGCTAGACTGATAATGCATGTTGAAAATGCAATACATCAACAGTTTGAATAAACTTTTAGATAGATCTGAATGACTCATCGGATAATTCTTTTAAAATAAATTGTTAGAAGTGGTCGTAGTTCTTTTTGGAGGTGTGATTGTTCCGGGAATCGATGCATTTCATTTGCTAAAAATTAATTAAGGTATGTATAATCTTATTGCTGAAGGGTGAAGCAATCTTGCCCACCACAGGGAAATCATGTGAGATGCTGCATGCATGCACGTGATTTGGAGCAGTCGGGTAATTAATCAGAGTTGTCACCTATTATTTTGGACATGTGATGTGATGAATTTCTCTAACGGGCTTTCAGATGTAGTCATCTCATTCTTTTATCTTATGCGGCGTTGCTTGCTTATGATTAAGCAAGTGCCCTCTCTCTCTCTCTCTCTCAACTATTGTCTATCATGAAAATGATTTCCACAAATTCCTCACGGTGAATTGTTTCACACTCTCCTCATTTAGCACAGATCTTAATTTTCGTTTTGGGATTCACACTACTTTGGCATCTATTGGTATAAAATAATAGTGTTTTTCAAAATGGTCTATGAGATTGATTTAACTTCTCATTTTGATTTTTAAGATTTGAAATCAATAGAAATGGTCTCTGACTTGGTCCACCATCATTCATTTGGTCCTTGCATGAAAAAGTCCGTTAAATAAGTATTAAATGACAAAAATACCCTCAATTTGATAAACAACTGGCCAAAATGTTTTGACAAAGATTGAGGATATTTTTGTCATTTTATCCTTATTTAATGGAGAACGGAATGATCAAAATGATTGATAGTGGACAGGAATTACTTCTATCGATTTCGAATCTTAGGAACCAAAATGAGGAGTTATACTAATCTTAGAGATCATTTTGAATAAAAAGCCAAAATATTATGTTACATTTTCACATGTAACTATATGTTACGTATTCATATATCAATTAACTGTAAAGCTATATGTTTAGCTTTTTATCAATAGTCTAACAATTACAAAAGAACATCATTATAATCTAATGCTTCCATGTTGATGATTTTAAATTAGTTATATAGACCCATGTTTAGGGATAAATTTTTATTTTTTTTAATAAAACAAATTGATATTTTTCACCCTCCCGAACTTGCCAATATTTGGGGTGAATAAACGATCATTGTATAATTAGGTTTATACCAAGGGCGGAGATGGAAATTTAAGCAGAGGTGACTAATATCTCATTGCTTGAAAGCTTACAATTATTGTGGCCTGTATTTAACTGAGAGAAGAGGGAGACGTGTGACAATAGTGAGAATGAAAGATGGAGAATAAGCTTGAGGAGTGTTATAATTCCCCAAAAATTGTGCCTTTATTATTAAGGAGATAAGCTTGCTTTCCAAGTAATACAACATTTAATAGGAAAGATCTTCTAGATCTTGAAGGATTGCTAATCTATCTCTACTTAAGATTTACACAATCACATATGTATTAGAATGTATATCTCAACAACAATGCTATTTTAAAGATACAATTAGAACTAGTAAAAGTATGATTTTTCTCTAATTGTATTTAGTTGGGGGGATAAATTGCCAAAGTATTATATTATATGTAATAAAAACAGTCAAACGACCTTATATGGTATTTAATTTTGCGAAAAATCTGGGCTGTGCTATAGCCAAGGGAAATTACACATAGCTCCGCCCTTGGTTTATCCATAACGTTGTACATATATAATTTCTCGCTGGAACTCAATACATAATACGATTGAGAATTCACGTATGTAAGAGAAATACAAAAATAAAGTCTTATCTCATTAAGTATGTCTGTTGTATAAAACCCTATAACGTCACTACATTCATGCATGAGAAATGTTATAAAAAAATATGCATAATCATTTTTTTCTAATAATTTTTGTCAGAATCCATACCAATTATAGTGGCCATAGTATTCTTGTTGTGAACTTGATCATCATTTGTTTTCCTTTATCATGAAAAAAGGGCATGATTGGAGAGGGCCCATAAAGATATGCTAAATTAACAGTGGCCGGAAAATATATATGATATGTGTAGTGGTAGAACAATATATGATTGGGTTGGAAGGATCCCATTGGGATTTGCTTGCTTTTCCTTTGAGAAGTAGAATTGATATATTATTTATATATTACATGGAAAAATTGAGTCAGTCAGAGAGAGTAACCAAATTTTATTTGTTATGGGTTCACATTTTGTGAGAGTGACCCCGTTCAGCTCACTTGGTTTCTTTATTCCATGCAAACCTGCAACTGATATTGCCTCGATCAAATAGGCAACTTGAGAAAAGACCTGACCCTTACCACATGATATCTCCTTCTGCATGCAGTATCAGTATCAATACTAGGAGAGATGCACCTCGATCTTTTAGCCACATATCTCTTTCTACTGCATTAATGCGTTGCATGCATGCATGCATTTGCATTCTCACTCATTGCAGCCCCAAGAGAAGCTAATTATATGCGTATTTGTATTCGCTATATATTGGGAGCTCTCATATATACATGGAAATAAACTTTCCACGTAAATGATCGTGTTGTTTTGTTTTTCAACGAAAACAAATTACAACTGGGAATACATGAGCTGTATATATATGTACACACACACACACACACACACACACACACACACACACACATAGTAGCTAGATCATTCTTCACACGGGATAACACAAAAGGATCGTCATCATTTTTATTGATTGCTAGCAATTATTGAATTTAATTGGTTACAAAATGTTGAGTAATGCTAGGAAGATTATGCATTTTGTAGTACAGTTTAAAATTAACCATATTATGTGTCAAGTGATGTGTAAAGAGAAAACTTTCATGCACAAGAGATATATTGTTAATAATAAATCTCACATTGATGAGAGGAGACCCCTAGTATGGGATTATAAGTTGGGTCACTTCTCATATTATGCATGGTGGAACCTCAACTTTTTTCATATATCTAGCTATATCCCTCTCTTTGTGATTGATGATGTGACTTATCAAGTGGTCATCGAGAAAGAGAGGAATATCAAGATATACCCATGTGGTATTCGAATTTTTGTGCAAAAAATATCGTACTCCCAACAATGTTCAAAACTATTCAAAGAAGCTTTTATGTGAAATATATATTGGTGATGAATTCAAGATAAAATGATTCTAAAAGAGTTGATCCTATATATTCCCTTCTAATCAATGTACATTGTTAAGTTTCTTCATACTAATTTAGTTGGTATAGATAGCACTGGAAACAGCAAAGCTGACAAAAACATTGTTTGACAATTCTATTGGAATTTCAATCTATATAGCTATATAGCCTTTTAGTTTTCCTTTCTATCGTCCAAATGTACCAATTGCATCGTCTCCCAAGAGACTTCCCATCAAATTTTATAGATTATTAGTGTATGTGAGTGTGTGTGTGTGTGTGTGTATATATATGTATGGTAGTCGATTGATCGTGATCTTGGAGGCACTGTATAACTAGGTACGTGTAGCCTGTTTTTACACATGCATTGAGATTTTATATTTCTTTATTTGAACTGTTAATTCGTTAACTTAATGCCCATAATTAAGGGAGCTCATGTCATGTGATCAAAAAACAAGGAAAAATTACATTAGATTCCAAACCTTTCACAGAAGCCAGAATTAATAAATTAACCAATCCAAGTACGGACGTTTTTGCTCTTAAAGCACCTCTATGCATCATGTGCTTGGCAATCATCCAATGTTTAAAATAATGAAAGACACCTACCCCAACATCTAGATAATAACCAAATCCTTACCCTAATTAAAGAGGGTACATATATATATATATATATATATATATATATATATATATTTCAAACCATCCTCAAATGGTGGTAATGTTCATTATCTTATTTATTATCGTTAGATGAATTTAAATTTTAAAATTTGTGTCTATCCACTATACAAATTTTGATATTTAAACTCATTTAATAAGAATAAATAAGGTAGTGAGTATCACCATCAGTTAAAGGTGTTGAGCAAAATATTCTCAATTAAAGAACCCATTTACATCTAATTGTACGATTTGTTCATCTCCTTTGACCTTTGACCAAATAATTAAAGTGCATTATTACTTCCTATTTTAAGACATGTTGGTTGCATGACCAATGGTTTCTTTCTCAATCTGTTAATTGTTAAATTTAATTAGGATCCATTCCATAATGCATTATATTTAGATGCAAGTGAGATTTGCGGGCAGGGTCTTTTTCTTCAACCTATTATATCTCAGGTTTAAACTTTCCTTCTTACTTTGGGTGTAGATTAGTGTACGATATTGCTTGTAATAAAAAAACACTTAATATATTTGGTTGGGAGTTGTCATAGAGCATCTCCAATGGAGTCCCCAAGAACATATCTAATGGAAGATGCAATATACCTTGAAAACTCTGTAATGGAGAGATGCAAAATATCCACTTTGGCTAAAAATGTAAATAAAAACTTAAATTTGCATTTTTGGTGGTGGCTCTCACCAATTTAAAAGAGAAAATTAAATAGAAATTAAAGTTTACATTCTCATTGGAGTGGAATTCTCATTTACACCTCCCTAATAATATAAAATGAGAAAAAAACTTGTGTGGCGATTAAATTGTCATTGGACTATGATGAGTGAGACTACTAACTACTTAAAACTTACCATGTGGTAAGCTATGATTATAATTTTTACCAGATATTCATATTTAAATTTCTCATAGTTAATGTTCCTCTTAATCAATACATATACCATTAGCGGAAAAAACATGAAGCATTTTAAAGAGAAATTTTGCAAGTAATTTTGAATGGAAAAATTCAAAGCCGAACGGAAGATAGAAAACTAACATCCTTGAGAAATTCCTAGACATAATTTCACTAGTGCCCAATATGTTACTGAGAAGGGTCTTTATTTCTTCCCTGTAATGATTACGCATTTTGTACCGCAGTTTAAAATCATATATATTATGTATCAAGTGATGTGTAAAGAGAACTTTCATGCACCAAAGATAAATTGTTAATAATGAATCTAACATGAGATTATAAGTTGAGCTACTCTTCATATTATACTTGGTGAAATCTCAAATTTCTTATATATATATATATATATATATATATATATATATATATATATATATATATATATATATATATCTAGCTATCCCTCTGTTTGTGATCGATATATATATATATATATATATATATATATATATCTAGCTATCCCTCTTTTTGTGATCGATCGATCGTGTGACTTATCAAGTGATCATCAAGAAAGAGAGGAATATCAAGATATAGCCCAGTAGAGAGAGGTGTTTTTTTTTCTTACAACCTATAACCAAATACAGAAACATTCATGATATGACATGTACGCATCAGTTGTCATATCTGATGTGTGGTATTAGCATTTTTGTGCAAAAATAACGTTACTCCCAACAACGTTTGAAATGGGAATAGATCCGGAGATGATCTCTCCCACCAAAGCCCATCAATCAATTAATCTGGATCCTTGAAATTTGATCCAATAGCTAAAATTATTATAACTTTTTAAGGACCCTCTGTTTGTAGCCGTTAGATCAAATTTCAAGTGTCCGGATTAATTAATTGGTGGATTTTGGTGAAAGAGATACAGAGCTCTTCCCGTTCAAAACTATTCAAAGAAGCTTTTTTGTGAATTATATATTGGTGAAGAATTCATGATAAAATGATTCTAATTAAAAGGGTTGATCCTATTCAATGATGTAGACTAATTAAGAGAAATATTAATTATGGAAAATTTAAAAGTGAATATATGATATAATTATCACCAAAGCTACTATATGGCAAATTTTAGGTTGTTGGTAGTGCCACTCGACGGTGCAAACTAACCCCTCTACAAAATTTTCTCGTAAAATGGGATTAAATATAGTTTGACTAACTTAAAAATTAGTAAGATGTGAAAAATTGCATCTATTAATCACAATCTCTATCACGCTTCTAAATTTAGATAGTGAGAAAAAGATCTTAAGAGCTCCTCTAGCATTAATTACTTTGTTTTTTTAATAAATTTTTGGAAAAAAAACTGTATTTCTATTGGTTGAACTAACCTCCATATAATTATGGTTTCCTAAATTAGAGAGTATGGTTTCCTCAACAAAAAAAAAAAAAAAAAATTAGAGAGTATGGTTGGAATAATTGTTTTTTAAAGATCGAGCTCCTAACATGATTGAATATACTTGGAGAAGAATACCACTAGATTCTACAAAGGGCATAGCTTTGAAGTGAATATCAGTTTAGTTCCCTAATGATATCAAATAGAGAAACTTGAGCATAACTTTCAAGTAAGCCTTACACTAATCATTTATTAATCCAGTGTTAGTCAAACGATTAGAAAAGGCCACATAATTAATGAACATAAGGCCGAATGAAAAGGACTTCCATGTTCTCTATATGTACCTGCGTGTCAACTTGTAGGGTAAGCATTATTTTATTTGATCATTTCTCTTTAATTTCCGATTAAAATAAGGTCATATCACATGGAATACCATTGGGTGCCATCTTCCACGTTCTTTTAAGCATCTCAAAACATTATAATCTAAAAAGAGATTCAATTGGAAACGTTACATAGACATCAAGTGTGGATATCAAGACAGAAAAGCTTGGAGAGTTAATAATTTTGGCAAAGAACTCTAGATGCATTGTGTTAAGATCATCTCCAGTTATGGAGCGATAAATGTAAAAATTAATATTTTAAAGGCTATCTATAGAACTAAATTTTTTCATTTCTAATCATGCAGGGTTATATTTTGTTTCTCTTCATATTGTATTACTTTCTGACCAAACTTAGCCCGTCCTAATGCCAAACTCAGCCTGATTCTATTTAGTCCTTTGAATGGAGGTTAATTTTGTCAATTTAAAGACTAAATGTGGCTTACAGACCTTGATAGGATATGGCCTAAGAGCAGTTCCCTAATAAAACCATCTGCAATAAGAAAATACTATCTTCCGAAAGTTTTCTGACATCCAAACATGCATGAGCATAGTCAGAGGTAAAAAGTAACTCAACTCCTAATTCATAAATATGAATCTTCTACTGCATACAAAGGCTTGGTTGTTATCAGGTATATATATTCTACATGAGTATAGCAATATAGCATCGAGATATATCTTCTACCACATTACTTCGAAATATATTCCGATTTGATGCAAGAATTTTCACTAAAAAACTGGGTGAGTGTGATCCAATAACATACAGATCTTAAAACAAAAAAAAAAAAAAAAAAAAAAAACACTAATTGCAGGGATCCAATGGAGTGGATTGGCCAAAACTATTAGTGAAAAAAAAGTGTACGGATAAACATTTATATATGTATATATTGAACACGCTAATTTGAGTTCGTAGGGGCAATGAAACTTTCCTATACTACTAGATTCCATTTGGGATATGATTATTTATAAGCTTAAATTGGTAGAGAGCTTTCATTGTGGAATATTGTTGCAAATCTTTGTAAGGCTATTTAATCATCATTGTCATGATCAATAGACTAGTTTATAGTAAAACATGACTTAATTTAATTTGAAATGTAGCCAAATTTTGAACATGCATGCTAAAGACTTTCTCAATTTTAAAATTTTAACCACTCAAGGGTATTATTCAAACACTGCTCGATGGAGCTCGACCGGTTATGTATAACTATTGAAGAAGAACAAGGGTTTAGTTTTTCAAATTTCCCCTATTGCTTACAGGGGTGTGCTATCCGCACACCCATTTTTACTTCTCACACACCCTTATTAATTTCTATCCATTGATCTTCTTCAATCCATCTAATCTGACCACCGTAATTTAAAAAAGTGTGAGAAGTAAAAAAGAATGTGAATATCATACCCCTTATATTCTAGTGTTGGTGAAAGAGTGGTGATGAAGAGTAAATAAAGCAGTAAAATAAAATGCAAAAACCAAGATAGTCAGGCTTCAGAAACCTGGAAGGTAGCAGCTACCGATGGGCACCACCTCGGTATTAAACAACAAAAGACCTCGATGGGGTTATGATCTTGAGGCAGTTACCCCAGCCGGCGTACCAGAAATTTAATGATAATGCAATATAAAATATCCCCTTAGTATTAAAATATTCCAATCAATTCATCACTCCAAGCCTCCCAACTCCTTTAAATCCTGCCACCTGCTTCAGACTTTACACCAAAGAACACAAAACCCAGCTTTTTTCTGCATCTGCTAGCCCCCATTTCTGCTTCATGGATTCAAAGAAGTCTAACAAGATTAGGGAGATTGTTAGGCTCCAACAGATCCTAAAGAAGTGGAAAAAGCTAGCAAATGCTTCTAAGAACACCACCACAACCAATTCCTCATCAGCTAGTACCATAGTGATGAATAATGCCAATAGTACTACTACTAGTACTAGCAGCAATGGCAGCAGCAGAAGCATGAAGTTCTTCAAGAGAACACTCTCCTTCACAGACGTTTCCGCGGCTCAAAATGACATCGTGCCAAAAGGGTTTCTTGCCATGTGTGTTGGGAAGGAGCTGAAGAGATTTATCATCCCAACTGAGTACTTAGGTCACCAAGCTTTTCGGATTCTGCTTCAGGAAGCCGAAGAGGAATTCGGGTTTCAGCAAGAAGGTGTGCTCAAGATTCCATGTGAAGTGTCAGTGTTTGAGAAGATCTTGAAAATGGTTGAAGAGAAAAGGGAGGTGTTTTCCTTGCACAATGAGTTTGGATTCACTAATGCAGAGAAAGACATGATTGGTTTTTGCTCATCTCCATCAGATTGTGAGCTTACACCATCTCATCACCCTCAAATGTGCAGATGATGAATACTTTTGATATAGTTTGATATTATATGTTCTTCACCATCTTTTTTCTTCTTTCTTTTGCTTTATTTTGTGAAGATAATGTAATGGAAGAGGGCAGAGTGTGCTTAGAGGAGGATTTAGGGTTGGATTAATAAGGTGATTTCTTGTTCTACATGAAAATTATTAGTTAATAGTTGGATTGATGATCTTCAATTAAGATCCAAGTTATGTTGTATCTACCAACATATAAGGAAATGAAACTTTCATCTTAATTGAAGAACCAAAATATTATTCAGTTTAAATTTAATGTCGTAATTTTGTGATTTTCATCCTATGAGTTAGTGATAAGAGGAAAAACATATTATTTCCAAAAATTTGACTCCAACCTAAATGAGAAATTTAGAAAAATAACCAAAATTTGAACACTTCATAGAATTATAGCTATCTTTTTAAATTTATGATATGTATAACCAAAAGTTGATATGAAAGTACTAATATACCCTTAATGATTAAGATTTTTACAAAACAAATTCAAGGCCTCATCTCAACAACCTGAGAATTCCAGCCCTCTCAAAAAACTTTTGCCAATTTTTGATTATCAGAATCAAAAGCTAAATTTGCAACAAATATCTTGGCCTCCTCCTGTGGCTTGACATTCGAATCGTCCTCTCTCTCTCTCTCTCTCTCTCTCTCTCCCCCTCAAAGACCCATTTTTCTCGTTGCCGTCGCTCTGTCAATGGTGAGCATGTTGTTATCTCTACCCCAATCCAAGGTCTGGGCTACAAAGGGGACGGAGGAGAAGAAGTGGGTTTTGCTCTTGAGGGATAGCTTCTTTGTTTTCCACACTCTAAAGTTCACTCATTTTTCTTCTTGAGAGACTATATTCACATAACCCAAATTACTTGCCCCACATTCTTTTATTTTTTAAATATTTTTTAGATATTTTACACACCACTAACACTTGATAAAAAAATATTAAAAATTAAAAGATGTGAGGGAAGTAATTTGAGATGTGTGAATATAATCTCTATTCTTCTTTCCTTTCTGTAGACCAGAAAATCACTTAAATCCCAGGCTTCTTCCGAACTCAGCAACCAAGATTCAAATATGCATAAGGAGTTTCAGTCAAACGAGAAAACTTTCAGTCAATTGAACCACATCAACTCTTTCCTTCTATTTTTTGGACTAAATTTTGTGCTGAAAAACAAGAACAATCAAGTGTGAAGGAAAACATTGAAGATCGGGAAGCGTAAAGCAGCAAAATCATTTGGGTTTTGAGAGTCTTTGGATTTGTTTTGTTAAAAGTTATAGTCATTAAGGGTATATTAGTATTTTTATATAAACTTTTGGTTATAATTATCATAAATTTTAAAAGTTGGCTATAATTCTATATGGAGTTCAAATTTTGGTTATTTTTCCAAATTTTTATAGAAGGGAGTTTTGAAAAGTGAGGAATCAAATCATCTTCATATGATGAGTTAATTGTTGACTTTCTTTGTTTTGGAAGAAGACAACATAAAGATAGGAATGCTGAGAACTGGAATAGATGACCATTTTCCAGTAGCTAGCCCATATACTTGGACAAATGGTTAGTTGTCATTGGCAAATAGCAAATCAAATGGTTACCCAAGCAAGAACAATGATAAGCTAATGAAGAGGAGTGGGAGACTGAAACACCAGTTCAACCATTTATTTATTTCCTACCCAGAAACCCAACAAAAGGATGCTATTTTCATGCAACAATTTTTTAGAGTAAGAACCTCAAATTGAAGTCTTGCCTTATAATTTTTTTTGCCTCTCTCTGTTTTATTTAGATGCTCATATTCTAATTAATGTGGTATCGAGTTTGCTATTTTTGGTTCCAACTGCCACGCAATATATTTGTTCAAGTAGCAGGGTTGAAATGTCATCACACGTAAGGAAACCTGTGAGAATTTTACCACACAAAAAAAGAAGCTTTGCATGGTAGCTTAAGTAATCCTAAGCCAATCCCTCATATGGGTAATCAATTTTAGGGTGAAACTTCTGATAAACTAGAGTCCTCTCTGGTTCCTGCAACACGTTCCCACTCCAACAAGGATAAGGTTCTTTACTCCACAAGGACACGCGAGCAGCAGCCCAGTCCCAGTCCGACAAGGATTTATAGATCTTTTCCTATACTGTTTGTATTTTATGTTTTCTGTATCCTTCTACACGATGATTTTGTAGCCTATATATCAATGATAATTGGCTCACTCATTTATTAAGTTGAGTTCTACAAATACATTCTTCTATCTTTCATGGTATCAAGAGCCAGCGTCTTACGACAAAGGTTCATAGCTTAATTTTTTTTTCGGTACTTTACAGTCATGGCGTCCTTTTCCTCCTTTGTCGCTACTGCTCCCTCTGTCAAGAACTTTCTTACCATCAAACTCGATCGCAACAACTATCCCTTCTGGTGTGCTCAGTTTCTCCCCTTGCTGCACATCTGCAATTTACTCTCCTTTGCTTACTGGTGAAAATCCATGTCCCTCTGCCTTCCTTCTTGATGACAATGGAAAATTCACCGACAAGGTTAATCCATTGTATAGTGAATGGATACAAACTGATCAGATGATTCTCTCTTGGATTACTAGTTATCTTACCCCCAAGGTTCTTGCTACTATTGTCAATAAAATTGATTCGGCCTCTGCCTGGTCATCTCTTCAAGAACGCTATGGCCTCTACCTCTCAGAACCGTATTATTCAGATGCGTACTGAACTCATGAATACCTTTCGTGGTGATCTCTCTATTGCTGACTATCTTGACAAGGTTAATGTGATTGCCGACAATCTTGCTCTCTTTGGGGCTCATATTTCTGAATCAGATTTAGTTGCTATTATTATGAGCAAGGTAGGTCCTCAATATGAGACAACTGTTGCTTCTGCACAAGCCCGTGATACTCCTATTACTTACAATGCACTGGAAACCTTGCTTCTGAGTGTCGAACAACGTCACAATGCTTTCTCCCTTCCCTCTGATGTCGACACCTGAACTTTTGTTGCTGTGCATGGTGGTCATGGTGCTTCCTGTGGCCATGGTGGCTCTTTCTGTGGCGGTCACGGTGGAGGCTCCTCTTGTGGTGGTGGCCCTTCTCGCACTTATACCCGGTGACTCTACTTTTACACCATCTTCGTCAATTGCAGCTCCATCCCGAGGCCACTCGTCCTCCTCCTCTGGCATTCTTGGTCCTGCTCCTGGTTCTAGTGGTTCTACCTCCACACCACCGGCCTTTTTCTCCTCTGGATGTATTCAGTGTTAGATTTGTCAACGTTATGGTCACTTGACGATTGATTGCTCAATCGACTCAACATGTCATATAAAGGACGGGTTCTTTCGTCCCATCTTCAAGCCTATGCGGCTTGCCCCCTTGAACCGTGCGTCTGCACCTGCTCCGGCTGCTCCATCTGTCCAATCATGGCTCTTTGACTTCGGTGCGATTCACACATAACCAATGACGTGGGACAACTTCACAATCCTCGTGAGTATTATGGAACTGATCAAATTTGTGGTGTGCATGGTGGTCCAGGTTTGCAAATCTCCAAAATTGGTGATTCGTTTCTTCATACCAAAACTACTTCCTTCCGTTTGCCTAATACTCTCTTTTGTCCTCAAGCTTCCACTAACGTTATGTCTTTAAATCATTTTATGAGTGATAATGATTGTTTCTTTACTATACATCCTCGCTTTTATCGTGTGCAGGATTCACGGACAGGGAGTAACAATGGACTCTACCGTTGTTCTTCTTCTCAACCCCATGGTGTTTTTGCTTTATTAGGTGAACATGTAACGTATGCTTTGTGGCATTCTAGGTTAGGTCATCCTTCGTTTTCAATTTTACAATAGTTAGTTTCTGCAAATAAATTGCCACTTAAAGGCTCGTTCTCTAGTAAGTTTTGTCAATTTTGTCCCTTAGGTAAAAGTCATAAATTACCATTTTCTTTATCTCCATCTATGTCTTCTTCTCCTTTAGAATTGATTCATTATGATGTTTGGTCTTCACCCTCTTTATCGGTTTCTGGCTTTAAGTATTATGTGATTTTTGTGGACAATTTCTCTCGTTATACTTAGATTTACCCTCTCCGTTTAAAATTTGATGTTTTCTCCACCTTTGTCACTTTCAAAAACTTGGTTGAAAATATGTTTAGTGCCAAAATTAAGGCTTTTCAAACAGATGGTGGCGGTTAATTTGTTAATCATGGTTTTCAAAATTTTTTGAATGAACATGGCATTTTACATTGTCTTACATGCCCTCATCATCATGAACAAAATGGCTTGGCTGAATGTAAACATCGACATTTAGTTGAAACTGGTCTTACTCTCTTAGCACCATCTGGTTTACCCACCTCCTATTGGGCTGAATCTTTTTCACACTACTAATTACATAATTAATCGTTTGCCTACTCGCATGTTACAACATGTTTCTCCGTATGAAAAATTGTTTCATAAACCTCCTCAATATTCTTTCTTCAAGGTCTTTGGTTGTGCCTATTTTCCTTATTTGCGTCCCTATAATACTAATAAATTGCAATTTCGTTCAAAACACTGTGTTTTCTTGGGTTACTCTTTAAATCACCATGGTTATCACTGTTTAGATCCCTCTACGGGACATGTCTTTCTTTCTCGTCATGTTGTCTTTGATGAACACAGCTTCCCCTATAAAGAATCCATTGTTACTTCGCCATCGTCGCTCTCCTCATTCTGTGGATCCCGTCATCACCATTGGTCCATCTCCAACAAGGATAAGGTTCTTCACTCCAACTCCAACAAGGACACGCAAGCAGCATGCCCAGTCCTAGTCCGACAAGGATTTATAGATCTTTTCCTATACTGTTTGTATTTTATGTTTTCTGTATCCTTCTACACGATGACTTTGTAGCCCTATATATATCAATGATAATTGGCTCACTCATTTATTGAGTTGAGTTCTACAAATACTTTCTTCTATCTTTCAACTTCAGTTTCCTTAAACAATCTTATATATCTATTTTTTCAGAGC